TGGGGTCCTGGGTTCAAATCTGGGTCTCGGCCGCCCGTGATGAAAGCCCGGGGTCTCAGCCTGAACTCAGCCACGTTCGGACAACCAGTGCCCTTCCTATGAGACTCCCGTGGACTCGATGTTGTTCTTAATTTCTGCTCTTGGAATCCGGAACTCCTGGTTTGAGTGACGTGCGAGATGAGAGGCAAGCAATCTGCGGGACAAGCAGACTGGCGAGTCGAAAACAATCCCTACCCACCTAGCCACATCCACTAACCCTACCCCTACCCACCTAGCCACACCCACTAACCCTACCCCTACCCACCCAGCCACACCCACTAACCCTACCCCTACCCACCTAGCCACACCCACTAACCCTACCCACCTAGCCACATCCACTAACCCTACCCCTACCCACCTAGCCACACCCACTAACCCTACCCCTACCCACCCAGCCACACCCACTAACCCTACCCCTACTCACCTAGCCACACCCACTAACCCGACCCCTACACACCCACTAACCCTACCCCTACTCACCTAGCCACACCCACTAACCCTACCCCTACTCACCTAGCCACACCCACTAACCCTACCCACCTAGCCACACCCACTAACCCTACCCCTACCCACCTAGCCACACCCACTAACCCTACCCCTACCCACCTAGCCACACCCACTAACCCGACCCCTACCCACCTAGCCACACCCACTAACCCGACCACTACCACCTAGCCACACCCACTACCCCTACCCACCTAGCCACACCCACTAACCCTACCCCTACCCACCCAGCCACACCCACTAACCCTACCCCTACTCACCTAGCCACACCCACTAACCCGACCCCTACACACCCACTAACCCTACCCCTACTCACCTAGCCACACCCACTAACCCTACCCCTACTCACCTAGCCACACCCACTAACCCTACCCACCTAGCCACACCCACTAACCCTACCCCTACCCACCTAGCCACACCCACTAACCCTACCCCTACCCACCTAGCCACACCCACTAACCCGACCCCTACCCACCTAGCCACACCCACTAACTGACCCCTACCACCTAGCCACACCCACTACCCCTACCCACCTAGCCACACCCACTAACCCTACCCCTACCCACCTAGCCACACCCACTAACCCTACCCACCTAGCCACACCCACTAACCCTACCCCTACCCACCTAGCCACACCCACTAACCCTACCCACCCAGCCACACCCACTACCCCTACCCACCTAGCCACACCCACTAACCCTACCCACCTAGCCACACCCACTAACCCTACCCCTACCCACCTAGCCACACCCACTAACCCTACCCCTACCCACCCAGCCACACCCACTAACCCTACCCCTACCCACCTAGCCACACCCACTAACCCTACCCCTACCACCTAGCCACACCCACTACCCCTACCCACCTAGCCACACCCACTACCCCTACCCCTACCCACCTAGCCACACCCACTACCCCTACCCACCTAGCCACACCCACTAACCCTACCCCTACCCACCTAGCCACACCCACTAACCCTACCTACCTAGCCACACCCACTAACCCTACCCCTACTCACCTAGCCACGTGCACTAACTACCACTGACTAGTACACCACTACCACTAACTAGTAAACCAGTCAACCGCCACTGCGCGCGGCCGCACGACAGATCCGCAGCCCCCACCCCACTCGGGATGAGCGAGGGGGGGGGGGGCAATTACCACCAATTAGAGCGGCGCGGGCTCACGCGACAGAGCCGCCGCCACGTTACTTTGATTGACGTGCCGAGGGGCGGGGCGCAAATTGCCGGGGGCTCAAACGCCGCTCGCCGATTGGCTGGTGCCTTGCCGTGACATCACGTCCCCACGTGCACCGCTCAGCGCTGGAGAGCGGTGGGAGTTGTAGTTGGGGGGGGGGTCTCTGGTTAGGGGTGTGGTTAGGGGGGGTAGTTTGTGGTTGGGGTGGAGATCGTAGCTGGGGTTGTTGATGGTTGCGGTGGTGATTGTGGATGTGGTTGGAGTGGTGATTGTGGATGTGGTTGGAGTGGTGGTTGGGGTGGTGGTTGGGGTGTGGTTGGGGTGGCGATCGTAGCTGGGGTTGTTGGTGGTTGCGGTGGTGATTGGGGGGGTGTGTGATCGGGGTTGTGGTTGTGATTGGGGGTGTGTGTGATCGGGGGTTGGGGTATGGTTGTGAAGTGGAATTCGTTGACTTGTGCTTGGGGTACAGTACGTAGCATGATACGTGCAGTGGCAGTGCGTCGTTCGGTTGTGTGATAAGAGGTACTGTACACAGTATATAGTGGGGGAGCGGTGGTGCAATGGTTAGCGCACTGCGCTACGAACCAAGCGACACGACTTCGATTCCCGCTGATGGCCACCACCAGTGGCGATTATCCGAACCCAGTGACGGGTCTCAAATGAGTAAAGACGTGGCGCCGTGTGTAAACATCGCCACTTAGGGAGACAAAGGCGGCCGGGCGTGGTGCTGGCCACGCAGCCCCTCGGGCGCAGCACCCGCCGTCATAGGCGCGACTCGCTTGCCGAAACAGTCTTGCCAAGAAGATACGGGGGGGGGGGGGTCTTTGTGTGTGTGACCCGTGGTGGGTATTTGAGGGGGGTGTCGTTTGGGCGGGGGGGGGCGGAGGACCCCCCCCCCCCAGCCATCCCTACCCCGTACGCCCCTCCCATTGGCCCGGGACTTGAATCCTCCTCGTCTTGCCCACACCGCGCAGCGCGCGCTGCGTGCGAGGAGGCGTCTCGGACACACGGAGAGCAGCAGCAGCACGCTGCTCGTGCGTGCGCGTGCGTGCTGCCAGTGTGTGTGTGTGTTGCAAGTGTGTGTGTGCGTGCTGCCAGTGTGTGTGTGTGCTGCCAGTGTGTGTGCGTGCTGCCAGTGTGTGTGTGTGCTGCCAGTGTGTGTGTGCTGCCAGTGTGTGTGTGTGCTGCCAGTGTGTGTGTGTGTTGCAAGTGTGTGTGCTGCCAGTGTGTGTGTGCTGCCAGTGTGTGTGTGTGTTGCAAGTGTGTGTGCTGCCAGTGTGTGTGTGCTGCCAGTGTGTGTGTGTGTTGCAAGTGTGTGTGCTGCCAGTGTGTGTGTGTGCTGCCAGTGTGTGTGTGCTGCCAGTGTGTGTGTGTGCTGCCAGTGTGTGTGTGTGCTGCCAGTGTGTGTGTGTTGCAAGTGTGTGTGCTGCCAGTGTGTGTGTGTGCTGCGGGTGAGTGTGTGCGTGCTGCCAGTGTGTGTGTGTGCTGCCAGTGTGTGTGCGTGCTGCCAGTGTGTGTGTGTGCTGCCAGTGTGTGTGTGTGCTGCCAGTGTGTGTGTGTGCTGCCAGTGTGTGCGTGCTGCCAGTGTGTGTGTGTGCTGCCAGTGTGTGTGTGTGCTGCCAGTGTGTGTGTGCGTGCTGCCAGTGTGTGCTGCCAGTGTGTGTGTGCTGCCAGTGTGTGTGTGCTGCCAGTGTGTGTGTGCTGCCAGTGTGTGTGTGTGCTGCCAGTGTGTGTGTGTGTGCTGCGGGTGAGTGTGTGCGTGCTGCCAGTGTGTGTGTGTGCTGCCAGTGTGTGTGTGCGTGCTGCCAGTGTGTGTGTGTGTGCTGCCAGTGTGTGTGTGCTGCGGGTGAGTGTGTGCGTGCTGCCAGTGTGTGTGTGTGCTGCCAGTGTGTGTGTGTGCTGGCAGTGTGTGTGTGTGCTGCCAGTGTGTGTGTGTGTGCGTGCTGCCAGTGTGTGTGTGTGCTGCCAGTGTGTGTGTGTGCTGCCAGTGTGTGTGTGCTGCCAGTGTGTGTGTGTGCTGCCAGTGTGTGTGTGCTGCCAGTGTGTGTGTGTTGGTGTGTGTGTGCTGCGGGTGAGTGTGTGAGTGTGTGTTTGTGCGTGCTGCCAGTGTGTGAGTGTGTGTGTGCTGCCAGTGTGTTGGTGTGTGTGCTGTGTGTTGGTGTGTGTGCTGAGTGTGTGTGTTGGTGTGTGTGCTGCCAGTGTGTGTGTGCTGCCAGTGTGTGTGTGTGTGCTGCCAGTGTGTGTGTGTGCTACCAGTGTGTGTGTGCTGCCAGTGTGTGTGTGTGCTGCCAGTGTGTGTGTGTGCTTCCAGTGTGTGTGTGTGCTGCCAGTGTGTGTGTTGGTGTGTTTGCTGCGGGTGAGTTTGTGAGTGTGTGTTTGTGCGTGCTGACAGTGTGTGAGTGTGTGTGCTGCCAGTGTGTGTGTTGGTGTGTGTGTGCTGTGTGTGCTGTGTGTTGGTGTGTGTGCTGAGTGTGTGTGTGTGAGTGTCTGTGTGTGAGTGTATGTGTGAGAGTGTGTTTGTGTGTGTGAGTGTTGTGAGTGTGTGTGTTGGTGTGTGTGCTGCGAGTGTGTGTGTTTGTGTGTGTGCTGAGTGTGTGTTTGTGTGTGCCGACCTTACCAGGTGCTCGCTAACAGCGCTTGCCCCCACCCAGTCCTGCTGTGGGCTACACGGAGGGGGGCGGGGGGGGGCGTCTGCGTTGTCGGCACGGAGAGCGGCAGAGGAGCCGATCGAGAGCCCGCGGCGCGTTCCCCACACACCCAACCTCCTCCTCCATCAACATCATCTCTCTCCCGTAGACCTCCTCCATCATCATCATCAACATCATCTCTGTCCAGTCAACCTCCTCCTCCATCATCACCATCATCTCTTTCCAGTCGACCTCGTCTCGTCGACTCGTCATCTCAGGGGCCACGGCGCCCCACCGACTCCTCGTGCGCGCGCGCCAGTGACGGGCGGAGGGTGACACGCGGAGGAGGGTGACACGGGGAGGAGGGCGACACGGAGAGGAGGGTGACACGGGGAGGAGGGTGACACGCGGTGGAGGGTGACACGGGGAGGAGGGCGACACGGAGAGGAGGGTGACACGGGGAGGAGGGTGACACGCGGAGGAGGGTGACACGGGGAGGAGGGCGACACGGAGAGGAGGGTGACACGGGGAGGAGGGTGACACGCGGTGGAGGGTGACACGGGGAGGAGGGCGACACGGAGAGGAGGGTGACACGGGGAGGAGGGTGACACGCGGAGGAGGGTGACACGGGGAGGAGGGCGACACGGAGAGGAGGGTGACACGCGGAGGAGGGTGACACGCGGAGGAGGGTGACTGACAGCGGTGGCTGGCTGCTTCACAGGCACGGATGGTGATGGCTGCTGCTGCTGCCGCCGTCGTCGTCACCGCTGGCGCCGCCGTGCGAAGTCGTTGACGACGCCGCGGAGTTTGTTTGTTGGTCTCCGTCTGGAGTTTCTGTCTCCTGCTGAACAACGCGGAGCTGTGTGGGCGGCGCGAGTGCGCGGCGGCGGTGGTGGAGGCGGTGGTGGAGTTGGTGGTGGTGGAGAAGGCGGTGGACAAGGAGTTGGAGGTGGAGGAATTGGAGGTGGAGGAGTTGGAGGTGGACAAGGAGTTGGAGGTGGTGGAGAAGGCGGTGGACAAGGTGGTGGAGGAGTCGGAGGATGTTCTCGCAGGGTCGACACCCCGTGAGTATCGCACCGGCACGCCGGGGTTCACCTAAGCTGGGGTCCAGATCACTGATTAATTCATTCACTCATTTATTTATTCACTCATTCAGTCATTCACGTACTCAGTCACGTACTAATTCACTCACTCATTTACTTAGCCATGTACTCTTCGTATGCACTCATTCACTCATTCATTAACTCATTCAGTCCTTCACATACTCAGTTACGTAACTACTCGTTCACTAATTCATCAGCGCAAGGGTCGCCGCCCCCTTCCCGCGGAGCGAACCCGGGGGACGTGCTCCTCGGTCCACAGCTCGGCCCGGCATCAAACGTCACTCCACCGTCTGCTGTGTGATTGGAGTTCCAAGCAATCACGATTCCCAGATCTGGGTACAAATCAAGTCGTGCCACCCAACGCAAACGGATGCCAATTCACGGACTTTGCTGGTGGCACCCGGGCATGTGGCGACCCTACTCCACCTCCATCCCTTAATGAGCACGGTGGACTCAGCGGCCCTGTAAACGTTGGAACAACGTTGGTGCAACATTGTTCCAACAGTTCCAAGCACGTGCCAACGTTGACCTCACGTCGCCATGTCCGCCAGTTGTGGAGCCAATCGGAAAGTTACGAATTCAAATCCCGGTTGAGAGGATTGACTCGGCCCCATCATCGCATCGAGGTCGTTACATTGAGTGCCACTATTGCATTCCTGTCAATCCCTTATCAGTGCCCTACCTGATTACAGACCAATTCAGACCTTATTGGTCACCCCGTGCCCTTATAAATCTCAGCATTCATCCTACAAAGTCCCATCACAAGGGAGACACACAAACAAATAGACAATGAATATTTTGTTGCCCGTATAGATGAAACGGCTGTACGCCGTATGGATCTGAAAACTCTATTTCCCTGTAGCAGAATCCGGGGTAAACCGCGTGGGTTGAGAGGTTTGATATTGCAGCGACGTGATCCACGGTTGTCTCATGGGGAGACTCGCTCCCGCCATAGTGACGTGGTTTTCCAACCACTGGCTCAGAGTTGTTAACAGGCGAGCACCGATGTCTCAATGGCAGTACTCATTTGAGGAGGAAGTCGCCGCTGACTGAATGGCTTCATGAGCACGGCCTGAATTACAACTGCAAATGTGCACGGCGATCAATTTACAGATACCCCACCGATTTCCAACGACCTCAACAGGTGATTGAACGCTGTGAAAGTGGTGGCTCCAATTTCTCACAGAGGACGTGGTGTGCACGTGTGTTGAGATTGGCAGAGGCTCCGAGATAACACACTGCTTTTTCTCGACGGTCATTTATCAAAAGAGAAAACGTTGCACCCCGTTGTACCACACCGCGGGATTGTGTGCAGAGCCGAGGATGTCATTTAGTGAGGAAGAACAATGAACGGGAAGGGGAAGGGAGTAGAGGAGGAATGGGAAACGAGAGGAAAAGGATGTTAAAGGAATTGAAAAACGGGACCAACGAGCCAGGAGAGACGAGGATCGGAAGGAAGAGGCTGCATCCGCACCTCTGATTATCACGGTGTGAAAAAAAGTTCAACATCAGGGCCTCGATGCGTCATGGAGCGTCGTCTGTTTTCACAGCGGGCGGCGGGGAGAGGGAGGGGATTGAGACTGGGAGTGGCCACACGAGGAGTCGCGTGGTTTACGGGAGGCCTGCAGCTGATGTGGATACTGTGCTACAGTGTGTGAGTGTAGTGGGGTGTCTGTAAGTGGATCGCCTGAACGTACTGTCACATCACTTGTCAACAAGTGTGAGTGATCTTCTTGGTTCTTTCGGTAAAGTCACGTAGAAGGGAAGTAATAAAATAATAAAAATAAAAGACAATAAAATAATTCTCACGACGTTTCGGCTACAACGCAAGCAGCCGTCTTCAGGTGAAGAATGAGACACTGCCAAGCTAGGAGCTTATATATAAGCTGGGTTGGAGGTGGAAGAAGAGCGCCTTAACAAAAGAATGTGCATATCAAGAGGAATTTAGCATATTCATGGAAAATGCGTAGGAGGTGGGCGGGGGGGTTTCAAAGTCATATTATGCCCATGCATTATGCAGGATCAGCAGCACCGAAGGGAGGGGGGCAGGGGGTAGCATTGACAAAAGGAGGGAATGTTAATAGTATGTAGAAGCAATGAAACATGTGAATGGGAGAGCGGTGGCAGGAGACCCGCAGTGGACAATCAGTTAAGATCCGAAATGGTTTATTACGTCCTTCCAATGATTGCTGAGCCAGAATCCATCTTCTCGGTTGAAATTGTCTCTGTGTTTGTATATGTGGATCGCCTCATGAACGAATCTCTCATGGTAGCCAGATGGCTTGCAGAGAACCTCTGTCTTGGAGAAGTCAATGTCATGTGAGCCCACTGAATTGTAACAGTGATCTGCCACGGCTGAGGTGTTTGTCCTACCGTGTTTCAGGTCTGCTTTATGTTCACGGATGCGGTCCGAGACATGTCGTTTGGTTTCTCCAATGTAACTGCTACCACAGAGGCAACTTAGTTTGTAGACGCCAGGGTACTGTATGTCTGGAACCACGTCTTTTACAGATGGGACCAGATCACGGATTTTATGTACTGTGTTGAATCGGACCTGAATCTTGTGTTTAATCAGGGTTTTGGAGATCTTTTTTGTGACCCCAGCAATGTAGGGTAAGGTGATGGGTTTGAAAGGCTCCTCAACAGGGTCCTTCTTGATGGTTGGAGTGATGGCTTTACGGATTGTGTAGTCGGAGTAACCATTAGCCTTAAGAGCTTGGCGTACGTGTTTGAGTTCACTGGCAATGTGTTCCTGGTCGGAGATGCATTGGGCTCTATGGTATAGAGTCTTGATGAGGGAGTTCTTCTGGGATGGATGGTGGTGGGAATCCGGTTTTAGGTAGGCATCCGTATGGGTGGCTTTCCTGTAGACAGAATGGCTCATTGAACCATCGGGTCTCCTTTTAATTAGGACATCCAAAAAGGGTAGCTTGCCATCTTTTTCGACTTCAATGGTGAATCTGATGGCTGGGTGTATGGAATTGATGTGGTCGAGAAATTGGTCTAGAGCAGGCCGGCCATGTGGCCAGATGACAAAAGTGTCATCTACGTACCTTTTCCATAAGGTCGGGTGTAGAGTGGCAGTCTGGATGGCGTCAGTCTCAAATTTCTCCATGAAAATGTTGGCTACAACCGGAGATAGGGGGGAGCCCATTGGGGTGCTCTCAGTTTGCTTGTAGAAAGTTCCATTCCAGGTGAAGTATGTATTGGTTAAGCATTGTCTCACCAGGGGGGGGTACCCCAGTATTCAGTCCTTGATGAACCAAGTCTTCAATGATTGCGATGGTGTCAGGCACAGGAACTTTGGTGAACAAGGAAACCACATCAAAACTTACAAGCAGGTCGTCTGGGGACAGGGAAATCCCCTTGATTGTCGATACCAGGTCAGTAGAGTTTAGTACCGCAGAGGTGGTTTTTCCAGTGAAAGGCCGTAGGATTTCAGACAAAAAACGAGCCAGTTTGGAGGTGGGGGAGTTAATAGTAGAGACAATGGGACGAAGAGGTGTATCTTCTTTATGTATCTTTGGCAAGCCGTACAATCTTGGTGGCCTGGCTGCAGAAGGTTTCAACGAGAACTGTTTGGTCTGATCAATTAATGCGGTTGAAGCAGAAATGATTTTGTTGGTTTTAGAGACGAGGCTGTTGGTGGGGTCTCTTTTTATTTTTGTATAGCTGCCATCGTTGAGTAGTTCCTGAATCTTGTTGTTGTATTCTATTTTGTCCATGATGATCATTGAAGACTTGGTTCATCAAGGACTGAATACTGGGGTACCCCCCCTGGTGAGACACTGCTTAACCAATACATACTTCACCTGGAATGGAACTTTCTACAAGCAAACTGAGGGCACCCCAATGGGCTCCCCCCTATCTCCGGTTGTAGCCAACATTTTCATGGAGAAATTTGAAACTGACGCCATCCAGACTGCCACTCTACACCCGACCTTATGGAAGAGGTACGTAGATGACACTTTTGTCATCTGGCCACATGGCCGGCCTGCTCTAGACCAATTTCTCGACCACATCAATTCCATACACCCAGCCATCAGATTCACCATGGAAGTCGAAAAAGATGGCAAGCTACCCTTTTTGGATGTCCTAATTAAAAGGAGACCCGATGGTTCAATGAGCCATTCTGTCTACAGGAAAGCCACCCATATGGATGCCTACCTAAAACCGGATTCCCACCACCATCCATCCCAGAAGAACTCCCTCATCAAGACTCTATACCATAGAGCCCAATGCATCTCCGACCAGGAACACATTGCCAGTGAACTCAAACACGTACGCCAAGCTCTTAAGGCTAATGGTTACTCCGACTACACAATCCGTAAAGCCATCACTCCAACCATCAAGAAGGACCCTGTTGAGGAGCCTTTCAAAACCATCACCTTACCCTACATTGCTGGGGTCACAAAAAAGATCTCCAAAATCCTGATTAAACACAAGATTCAGGTCCGATTCAACACAGTACATAAAATCCGTGATCTGGTCCCGTCTGTAAAAGACGTGGTTCCAGACATACAGTACCCTGGCGTCTACAAACTAAGTTGCCTCTGTGGTAGCAGTTACATTAGAGAAACCAAACGACATGTCTCGGACCGCATCCGTGAACATAAAGCAGACCTGAAACACGGTAGGACAAACACCTCAGCCGTGGCAGATCACTGTTACAATTCAGTGGGCTCACATGACATTGACTTCTCCAAGACAGAGGTTCTCTGCAAGCCATCTGGCTACCATGAGAGATTCGTTCATGAGGCGATCCACATATACAAACACAGAGACAATTTCAACCGAGAAGATGGATTCTGGCTCAGCAATCATTGGAAGGACGTAATAAACCATTTCGGATCTTAACTGATTGTTGTTCACGTTTACGGTGACTTTCAGACCGCAGTCCACTCACTGGCATTAACTGTGTATCTTGTGTTCTCCACAGGGAATGCATTATTTGCTCCGCTGCGGGTCTCCTGCCACCGCTCTCCCATTCACATGTTTCATTGCTTCTACATACTATTAACATTCCCTCCTTTTGTCAATGCTACCCCCTGCCCCCCTCCCTTCGGTGCTGCTGATCCTGCATAGTGCATGGGCATAATATGACTTTGAAACCCCCCCGCCCACCTCCTACGCATTTCCCATGAATATGCTAAATTCCTATTGATATGCACATTCTTTTGTTAAGGCGCTCTTCTTCCACCTCCAACCCAGCTTATATATAAGCTCCTAGCTTGGCAGTGTCTCATTCTTCACCTGAAGACGGCTGCTTGCATTGTAGCCAAAACGTCGTGATAATTATTTTAGTGTGTTTTATTTTTATTATTTTATTACTTTTCTTCTACGTGACTTTACCGAAAGAACCAAAAAGATGAATCCCTGCAGTCTCGAAAGCTTTAAATCGAAATTTAAGTGTGAGTGACTGTTTGGGCAGTAGTACTCTCTATGGTGACACAATATTTGGTCCTTACCCTCTCCGGCATTGAAAGGGTAAAGCCAATAATTTTTCATATGTTTGGGCAGTATTTATTAACGTTGCTTTGTGATGGGATACTATGAAGTTGACTAATGTTTGAGGTAGTTTAACAAAGGTGGTGGGGTGTTTTAAAATGTATTTATTATCACATTCCCATCAGCCTCTTGCAAAAAAAAACGCGTATTCTCAGTGGGCACTCAATCGGTCGGTGAACAAAGATCATGACATGCTGCCAGAGCTTTCGCTCAGAAGCCACGGCGTTCGAGTTTCGCTCCGCGTGCCCAAGAGCTCCTTGGGGAAAGCGAGCGACAAAGCGAGCGACAAAGCCACCTCAGCTGGTATGCAGAGGAGGTCGTGGCTTCGATCCCAACCCTGACGCCTGCTGTACATTAGGAGTCTGCGTGTTTTTCTCTCTCCTAGTGGTTGCGTGGATTTTTCTACGGGTCCTCCGGGTTTTCCCAACACATTTAGAATCAACATCACGCGTTTAGAGTCTTTGGCTGCTACTTTACAGTTACACATGATAAGCCACTTCGTTAATATTTGTGATAGCCAGGTCGCTTCTGAAAAAGAGCTACATAGCTCAGTGAGCCTCACCTGGTAAAATAGAAAAAATAGATTCGTTTATTTCAGTTTGTACCGCACTACTACTAACATCAGTGCAGTTTCGGTGCTCATTAATTTCACGATCGACATGAACGGATGCTCCGTCATCCGGCGTCTCCGTTGCAAAGTCGAAACGTTATTTTCCAGGCTCACGTGAGCTTCGATGCGTCGGCGTTCACAGCATCTTGGCCACAGTGGTGTAAATTCCACGTTCATATGCCGGAGGGGGGGGGGGGGAAGGCGATCGCGTCCGTCGGACAAACCGCTGTTGCAATAGAGGGTAAGGGCTCTCACCCTCTGCGGGTTGAAGGACAGCCGCGTGATCAATGGATCTCGCTTGGTTGTGTGAATGGTGATGATGGGGGGGAGCGGCGGCGCTGGGCTGAATTTACCAGCACTGGGGGCCGCGTTCGCCCGCAGTGCCGAATGAGCTCCATCTAATTTACATGCGGAGAGGCGGCTGGGAAACTTTTCGGGAAGGGCAAGAGGGTAAGCAACTTGGGTGGCGCCGTGATTGGAACGCAACTCGAAAGGGTTGGAGGTGTAAATGGGGGGAGACGGAGGTATTTGCGATAGGTAGGACACGTGGTGTGGAGGGTGATTGGTGGAACACGTGGTGTGGAGGGTGAGTGGTGGGACGCGTGGTGTGGAGGGTGAGTGGTGTGACACGTGGTGTGGAGGGTGGTTGGTGGGACACGTGGTGTGGAGGGTGATTGGTGGGACGCGTGGTGTGGAGGGTGAGTGGTGTGACACGTGACGTGGAGAGTGATTGGTGGGACACGTAGTGTGGAGGGTGAGTGGTGTGACACGTGGGGTGGAGGGTGGTTGGTGGGACACGTGGTGTGGAGGGTGATTGGTGGGACACGTGGCGTGGAGGGTGAGTGGTGGGACGCGTGGTGTGGAGGGTGAGTGGTGTGACACGTGGTGTGGAGGGTGGTTGGTGGGACACGTGGTTTGGAGGGTGATTGGTGGGACGCGTGGTGTGGAGAGTGATTGGTGGGACGCGTGGTGTGGAGGGTGAGTGGTGGGACGCGTGGTGTGGAGGGTGATTGGTGGGACTCGTGGTGTGGAGGGTGATTGGTGGGACGCGTGGTGTGCATGGTGAAGACAGAGGGCAGGTTTTGTCGATACGGGCATCGGAGTGGCACCCAGAGGCTGGTGACCATGGGAGAAGACCGCAGAATCAGAAGTTTACTTCCCGAGTGAAGCCCGTTGAGCTATATAGAACGCTTCTTCAAGGGTGAATTGGACATCAGCAGCAGAGTGTCACCCAAAGCCAGACAGACGGTGGTGATGATGAAACTGCGAAGAGCCGTCCTCCTGAGGTCAGAGTGCCAACTTTGCAACATCAACGACAGGATCTAGCAGCAAGAAGGAAGCAATGGCCAAGCTGTGTGACGGCATCGCCGGCAAGGCTCCGCGACGACCTCTTGACGTCTCGTTCACCGAGGCCGGAGAGAAACGCGGCACGACTCGCGAACCCCTCCGGGAGCTCCCAAAGGCTGCTCGCCACTTTTCCATTCGCCCGCTGTGAATGCGACCACCGACTTGTTTCATGTTTGTTTACCTTCCGCTCTCTCCGGCGTTTATTTTACTGCTGTCTCTTCGTAGACTTCACCCCCCAAACGGCCCCACGTGCTGAGTGAAGATTGACGGATGTCGTTGGACCCAGACTGAAGAAGACCGATCGTTAGGAAATCGATGTCGGTTTCCTGAAAGAAAGTCGAGAGGGCGAGGGCTTGTTTACGTCTGGCGCGCTCAGCCCTCGCTTCTTTCCGGTTCGATGTTTTACTCACTCAGGGACTTGAGAAGTGCAAATCTCGCCAGATATCACACTCTCACACTCACTCACACACACTCGCACACACTAACTCACACACACACTCACTCACACACTCACACACACCCTCACACTCGCACACACACTCACACACACACCCTCTCACACTCACTCACACACCCTCGCACACACACTCACTCACACACACACTCACACACACCCTCTCACACATACACTCACACTCACCCACACTCGCACACACACTCACACACACACCCTCTCACACACACACCCTCTCACACACACTCACACACCCTCGCACACTCACACTCACACACACACTCACTCGTCATGCAAAGACAAAGATCCCCCGGCCAGACCTTTAACAGACTGCTCGTGCAAGTGTCGTTAGCCAGAGCCTATGAAGTCAAGTCAATGTTATTTATTTTGCTTAAACACGTGGCGCTGTTCTGACACAAATCTGCCACAGAAAAGCGCCATCGAGGCCGCCACGGCACATCCAGCCGCCTTTGTTTCCCCAGTGCTGATGTTTACACACCGTCACCAGGTATTCATGTAAGGCTGAGTCTACCTATGGGAGGCCCACTGTTATTGGTCGTGAGCGGGAATCGAACTCGAGTCGCTGGGTTCGCAATCTACTGCGCTGCCGCTCTCCGCACACGCTTGTACGGGCACACGCGTGCATGCATGGTCGTTGAAAATCTAGAAATTCTCATTGAGGAAGGATGGGGGAAAAAAACGCAAACTAAGTCCCTTCTTGACACCCGCACAATCGGGGTTTAATTCCCCTTTGTGCGTGTGCCCCGATGCGTGCGGCCGTGCTAAGCGAGAACACTGGCCGGCTCACCAGGGGTTGTGAACTCACCCCCCGAGCTCTCTGCGCTGTTGCCCTGGAGGCTCGCACAACAACAACAACAATTATTATTATTATTTGGTACGGCTGGTATTCGCGCCATTCCTGTAGCGCGAGGCTATCGTCACGGTGGCGCTGTTTGCTGTTTCACAGACGGTTGTAACCATCTGCCAAAAGCCTTCACGGTCGGGGAAACGACGATTCGGTACGTAGCTTGACCCAGTGAAAAAACTTGCAAGGTGTATTTTTCAAAAGTGCCGAATGTTGACCTTGGCGTTGGCACACGAGGCCCACGCACGCGGGATCTCAAACCTCCACCGTGAAGTGGACGGCTGGTGTTGTTTATTTTAGGTTAATGCGCACCGCAGCGATGACCAGAGTGGGCACTGGGTTCGAGCCGCGAACCTCTGCAACAGGTTGCAGACGCGCCACCGCCCGGCAATGCCATCCCCGCCTCGGTCCCTCAGCTTCTTCTGTCGCCGTGAAGTGGACTGTCGCCGGCCAGTGGCGTAGCGTGGTTAACGTTGAATGATTGAGGTATTTAATAACAGCGTTTAGATGCCATCGTGACAGGCAACTGGTGAAACGAAGACACAAATGTAGACCGGTTTCATCCTCATTCGGACTCATCACTACAGTGCAATCAATGATGTCCACGCGATGGACTAAACGACAAAATTGCCGCACGTTCAGTCCTTTTTGAGCTGGTGGTCTGGATAAGGCCGAGGGTTTTTACACACCACGCGCACTGCTGTACACCCGAGCGCGTCGTTAAATGTAATCTCGTTTGCGAGCCTCGATCGACTTTCACCGACGCGACCAGGCAAGGTCCGATGCTGAGAGTTATCGTTGACGCTCTCCGCAGGTGCCCCCGCAGAGCGCGCCCCCCTTCAAGGCGGCGATCAACGAGGCCTGCGACCGCATCAAAGAGGAGTTCCAGTTCCTGCAGGCGCAGTACCACAGGTGAGAGCCCACGCCCAGGTGACCTGCCGGGGGCACCCCCACCAGGTGCCGACCCATTGGCTGGATTCGTCTCGCTCGGGCGGTCGACCTGCGCAAGGCCCTTCCCAGTGACCGGCGTGGCTTGAGCTGCCCGTACCACCCACGACTTGGTGTGGCCTCACATCTCCGGGGTTTTGGGAATAAGGGGTGGGGAGAGGGGTCCTCGATGCGCCTAAGCCCACCCCCCCTTCACGCTGATGGCTTAGACCCATCTTGTAAGTTCTTACCCGTCAAGTCAGTAAATGTGCCTGCAATGTTGAACACCAGTGGCGCTTATTCAACTTGGTTCCAGCGAGGGCGTCAACAGCCGTTGCTGGTATATGCGGGTTGAGCGCTTACGGTACGAGGTCGCGATAGATAAGGAGTTGGGGAATAAGGATTGGCATTTGTGCGGCACTGAAATGCCCCCAGCTTCTAAAAGCAGTTATTAAATACAGTCAGCTCCCCCATGGCGCGATAGTTTGCATTCCCGAAGAATACGCGTTATGGAAAAATTGCATTATATCCAATTCGCGTAATAAAAACAACACGCAGCATTATAGCAGAACTGACTATCTAGATCATTCAATGCCCCAACTGTAGTTTTTCTCTCGATTGATCCTCGGGGACCCCCAAGCGTATGGCAGCTGTCCCTGTGTGCCAAGATGTGATGCAGCACTGGCCTAAATAGTGGGCATTGGTCGGTAAACTCGGGATTACAACCGAGTAATTTTCGGGTTTTTGATAATGTCCACTCTGATGCCAACGGCGTAGTAGTATTTACGGTTAATACGCCTGTAGTATTAACCAGGGGTGGCCGTGCGCTTGAACCACGAACCTCCGCGCTACTTTCGCTCGCTCAGCTTGGCGCTCGGGGTCTTGGCGGGTTGGTGTTGACGGCGCAGGTAGCGCGCGATGATCCACCGACTCCCCTCCCACGCGTCGTCGCGTCTCACCAACGATTCCACGCTTGGCTCTGACGGTGCCAAGTTGTCTCGCGGCTGCGCCATGGATTTTCATGTTTATGTTTACCTGACGATTGTTGTTTACTTTACGATTGTTGTTTACCTGACAATTGTTTACTTGACAATTGTTTACTTGATGATTGTTGTTTACCTGACAATTGTTTACTTGGCCACTTGACAATTATTGTTTACTTTACAATTGTTGTTTACCTGACAATTGTTATAATAGGGTTTTTCCCCTTTTTTTCTGGCAACAAAACTGAAACCTTGTTACAAGGAATCATGTATGCATTAACCACAATACTTGTGGTCAAAATGCAAGCAAAAAACACACTCTGATAGTATATGGCATTGTCCTTGACTTGAAACTGATTGGTCCACACCAGAGACGGCTTTCTTTTGAGCCTCGTCTCAATTGTTGCTAGACCAGAGGAGGGCTCGGGGTTATCCCGAGTCTGAATTACTTTTGGCGTCCTCTGGTCGAGCACCAATTGAGACGAGGCTGAAAAAGCCGTCTCTGGTGTGGACCAATCAGTTTCAAGGACAATGCATATATTATCAGAGTGTGTTTTTTTGCATTATGACCACAAGTATTGTGGTTAATGCAAACATGATTCCTTGTAAAAAGGTTTCAGTTTTGTTTCCAAAAAAGGGGGAAAACCCTATTATTATATTTTGGTACTGGCAAAGGAGGTTTAATGATGTAGATGCTGACAATTGTTGTTTACCCGGAAATTGTTTTTTACCTGACGAACACTCAGCGGTGCACGGCCAGCTGCTGCCGACCGTGGTTCTGGTCTTATCTTGTGAGGGTCGGCTCCAAAAGGAAACAGCAGGAAACTAATGACAACTATCCAATGATAATTTGAAGCTTTCGTGACTGCAGGAATTACTCTTTGGTTCTTTTGGTAAAGTCACGTAGAAAGAAAATAAATAACAGAATACGACGTTTCGATTGCAACACAAGCAATCGTCATCAGGTAGAAAACAAACCTAGTAAACTTAGAAATATAAGGACCTCATTTGCCAGTAAAAATATGATAATTGGTTCTTTACCCTTCTATCTGGCAACAAAACTGACACCTTTTTGCAAGGAGTCATGTTTGCATAGACCGCAATACCTGCAGTCATAAATACAAACAAAAGACATAACTCTGATAATGTGCACTGTCCTTGAAGTTGATTGGTCCACACCCGAGACAGCTTTCCTTCGAGCCTAGTCTCATATGGGTTGGACCAGATGACGCCAAAAGGCGCACAACTCAAGGACAATGCACCATCAGAGTATGAGAGCTCGGGGCAAGCATCTACACTATGAGGTCCCCATAGTGTAGATGCTTGCCCGAGCTCTCATACTCTGATGGTGCATTGTCCTTGAGTTGTGCGCCTTTTGGCGTCATCTGGTCCAACCCATATGAGACTAGGCTCGAAGGAAAGCTGTCTCGGGTGTGGACCAATCAACTTCAAGGACAGTGCACATTATCAGAGTTATGTCTTTTGTTTGTATTTATGACTGCAGGTATTGCGGTCTATGCAAACATGACTCCTTGCAAAAAGGTGTCAGTTTTGTTGCCAGATAGAAGGGTAAAGAACCAATTATTAGAAATATAATGCAATACAACACAGAGAGTTGGCTAACACAACAGTCAACACCCTACCTGGTTGATTACGTTCTTCCAAAGATTGCTAAATTTGAGAGAGAGACACACACACAAGCAAAGAGGAGACAACACATAGACACATAGAGAAACAACGCCTCTGTGTCGAGGCCTTAAATAGAGAGAGGGGAGGTCGGGCAGAGAGAGAGGGGGTGGGGTGGAGTAGAGAAATTAGTATTTCAATGAGAGAGTTGTGTAGAAATCCACCCCATAGCGGCCATGGGAGAGAAAGAGCAAATGGACCTATACAAGCCTGGTAAATTTTCAAGAGAGTTGTGTGGAAATCCACCCCGTAGCGGCCATGGGAGAGAAAGAGCAAATGGACCTTTCGAAGTCTGGTCAATTTTAGAGAGAGAAGTAGGAAGTTTGAGAAAACAAACTTAGTAAAATATCACACTTAACTTCTAATTTAGCAATCTTAGGAAGAACGTAATCAACCAGGCTATTCGTTAACTGTGTATTAACCGACTCTCTGTTGCATTACATTACATTTCTAAGTTTACTAGGTTTGTTTTCTACCTGATGACGATTGCTTGTGTTGCAATTGAAACGTCGTATTCTGTTATTTAATTTCTTTTCTTTCTACGTGACTGTACCCAAATAACCAAAGAGTAACTATCCAAGGGTTGTCTTATTATTATTTCATTTCGCGTGGGGATGTTCACTAAGTGGTGGATATTAGCCCCCTATTGGTGCACAATCTCGTTTTTTTTAAAGAGCCTACTGCATCAAAGTTAAACGTTTCTGTGCCTCAGTTATTTGTTTTTTCCTCTGAGATGTGTTGGATTTCCTTCTCAGCTTCTTTGGGTTAACTTCGTTTTATTGGGTTTTCTTCCCAGTTTCTTGGGATATTTGGGTTTCCCTCTCGGTTAATTTGGGTTCCTTCGGTTTATTATGTTTCCTTCCCAGTTTCTAGAGGTTCCCGCTCGGTTTATTGGTTTTCCTTTCTGGTTTCTTGGATTTCTACCTCAGTTTATTGGGATTTTCCCCAAGGGTTTTCAGTCGGAGTTTCACTGTGTTTGAACCCTTACTGGTTGTTGACACGTACGATACCCGAGCGGGAGTTGCCCGAGACGCATTCTCAACCGGGGAGATGGCATTAGCGCGGCCTCGCCAGAATTCACATGCACAGAATAATCCCAAACGCAAATATGTCACGCGCTAATAATTAATATTCATCGGCATTATTGAAAGGAAAATTGCGGCTGTGTTTGCAATTGTTTTGTTCGTGCCTTACTTAAGAAAAGTCTCATTATTCGTCATGTTACAGCGAACATTTTAATGGCAGTGGGGGGTTCATTTTCAAAAATAATAATGGGCAGACACTTACTACTTTCCTGGCAGTGTGAGTTGTAACAATCTCGAGAACATTTCCGCCAAATAGCGGAGACGGAGGGCTGGATCGTGGGCTTCCTGCCGCGTGGGCAATCGCGACGTAAACATTTATATTTGACCAGGTAAGGCCCCCACTGAGCTTTTTAGCTCTTTTTTTCAGAAGCGAACCTGGCCACAAATGATAGCTCAACGAAGTGCCTTATCACATTGCAGCCAAATGCCCTAACCACTTATTAATTATAAATGTGGAGAGGAAACCCAAAGAAATGTCCACGCTATCACAGGGAGAACCTGAAAACTCCGAATATACAGGCGTCAGGGTTGGGATCGAACCCATGACCTCCTGTATACAAGGCGAGATAGTTAACATCTCCGAGCCACCGCGATGCCTCCACATACGACATTACCCAGGAGGTGCATCGTACATGGACGTCTAATCATCGCCACGCCTTGCGGTCATGGGGTTTGTTTAGCCATACCTCACCCAGGCCTTGTCAGTGCGGGTTGGTGAAGGGGTGTAGGGTGTCCTGGACCGGTTCAGAGGTCACACGCCACTGGCAGAGATTAAGTGAAAAGTTTTTTCATTTGTGAATGCTGAATTTCATTTGTTGTTAGCCTTGTAAAAATACATTTTCTTTTACTTTGTTTTCCTTTTGAAAATATTGCTGGGGGCCTCACAGTACCTGTAGCCCAGGGGCCTACAAAATATTAATCCGGCCCTGGCCACTGGTGTTCGCCGAGGCCTGCAATCAAACTCGGACCGCTGGGGTTCGTGGTGTAAGGCGCTGACCACTGCGCCACCGTGCTGGCCCAGGGGAGGCGCGGTACGTGGGTGAACTTTTTGGCGAGCACAGTGTCCATGTGAGGCAGCCTCACTAGCCGTGTCAGCATGGCGCCAATCATATCACCGTATGTTCTTTTATTAAAAAAATACATTAAAGAGCACGAGATGAGCGAGTGGCTCCAATTCATAAAACGCTGAGCCGGCACCACTGAGACAATGTGCTCGAGTCCAGGTCTAAGCCTGTGATTGCACCGGATTTTGTGGAGTGAGTTGATGGCCATCAGCTCCAAAAGAAAACCATCATCCTAAATTAGTTTTTTCACTTTCTTGGCCAAAATTACAAGTTCTGAGAGTTGTAAAAATATATCGGTTTGACTGCCATTCAAGAGGGGAGGAATGTGGATAAGAGGTCACCTGATGGGTTCTCAGAAGTGGTTCTGTGATATCTACTTTTGTCGGCCATTCTCAAGTGTTCAGTATGGACGTTTTTCTTCATGTAATTGCACCACGAAAATACACAAACCCGGGGGTTGTGGTGGGAGTGGGAGCACAAAATAAACAAAGCATGAAGTACAAAGGAGACAAAACAGAGGGGGGGTCCCCACCATTGGAAAACAACACCCCCCTCCCCCTTCAGTGGCTGGCTGCGCACAACTCCACACGTGTGATCGTTAGCTTCGCGTGCGCTGCTGCAGGTGACGGTCAGAGGTGAAACACCGTCCTGTGCGCCTTGTGCGGCCCTGTGCCACCCTGTGCCACCCTGTTCCACCCTATTCTACCCTGTGCCACCCTGTTCCACCCTGTGCCACCCTGTGCCACCCTGTTCCACCCTGTGCCACCCTGTTCCACCCTGTTCCACCCTGTGCCACCCTGTGCGGCCCTGTGCCGCCCTGTGCCACCCTGTGGGGTCGGTCATGCTCGGGCGCTGCCGCGGCTCCACACATTTAAGATTCTCGGCACAGCCGCGTGCCAGAGAGACGCATGGGCAGGACGGCGCGTAATCACTTAATTTTAATTAAAGGCGGCGGGCGCGGTGACGCTCGCGTGGCGGAGGGTGCTGATCGATGTTGGTGGCCTCGGTGATTGTGTGTGTGGGGGGTTACACTCTGTCTTGCACCCCCTTCCACCCCCCCTCCCGACCCACACCCCACCCCTGCCGACCGCGTCCTTCCTGCAGTCTAAAGCTCGAATGCGAGAAGCTCAGCAATGAGAAGACGGAGATTCAGAGGCACTACGTGATGGTGAGAGCGTCAATCCACACAACCCCGCGTGGCGTCTACCCAACAGTGAACCCTTGCGTGAGGCTCGTCATTGCCACCGCCACGCCTAACTCGCTGCTCTGCGGATGGCGACCAATTACAAACGCATTGGGCCACGTGTGGGCGTTCGGAGTTGTGGCGGGGGTGGACCCTATGGACTGCGGGCCACATCAGGCCTGTGACTTTGTCTCACGTGGCCCGCAAATTTATTTCACGTGGGCCCCAAAATTCATTTTCACATGCACATGGACTGCAAATTCATTTCATATGGACTACAAATTCCTTTAACGCAGACCGCAAATGAATTTCACGCGGACCGCGAATTTCTTTCACGTGGCCCGCAGCCACGTGAGGCCATCCAATTTGAAACGGCTCGAGAATTATATTTATCCATCACCACAAGCATCTTCGCCGCACTAATCGGGCACTGGTGGGGAATATTTTTTGACATGTTGATAGCGCTGCGCTCAGTCAGCTCTCGTGTTCCCGGTTGTGGTGCACTCACGGTGAATGCATGCGAATCCCCACCTGGTTTAAACTTTTGTGTCAACTAATATGCGTATGTGTGTTGAACTTCTTTCGCACCGTACGTAGCCAAACATGCTAATCGGAGGTGCAGGGGGGGGACAACAAACTAAAATCAGTTCAAAAGAAATTAGTTTTCAATCTAGATTATTTAAAAGTGCATAGCTCCCAGTCACTTCCAAATATCTGAAGGAAGAGTGTTCCAGACGGCCGCAGAAGCGTATCTGAAAGCGCAGCGTCGTGCAGTGACTGACTTTGTGTGGCTCACCATTGGTTTTAAAATATCCTATTCGGCCGCCTCAGTAAAGTGAAGGTTCACAACCCCTGGTTTAATAGGACACTATTGTCACAGTGGAGTAAACGAACCTTTGGGTTGAAATGCGGTTAAAGTAAAATAAATATCAACAAGTAGTAGTGGTGCTCAATACTTTACCAGAAGATGAAATGACAGGCCCATTCTCTGCAACGTCGATGTGTTTTGTCTTTGTTGTTGCTGCACCACGGATCTCCCACGAATCACAGGCGGGCAACCGGTTTAACGGGATCGTCACCCGCGTAACGAGTCAACATCAGCTTAAACACTCAGGCCCATGACATGCCGCCCCCTTTTTGCAAGGGCGACGTGAGGTTCGTGAGCTGCTCTCCGCTTTATTTCCCTCTCCACCAACCCCCCCCCACAACCCGACATAACAAAAGAAGATTGCGTGGCAGCGCCTCTATTGGTATCCAATCGATCTTTGTTGTTTGTGCCCCAGGAAGGCTGGCCGTGCGTATCTTGAACAGCGTCGCCGTTATCCCGTAAATTTTACTCGGATTTGCAACGGGTCGCAGTCGGTTCTCGCCATTTGCCTTTTGAAACGTTTGTCAAGGGTTGACCCGAGGGGCACTTTGAAGGCGTCCGCGAGTGTTTGCTGGGGCGGGTTGACTCGAGATGACGCTCCGTTAAGCGTGTGTGCTCAGGCGGCAACGTTCGCCTTCAAACACGCCGGCACCGCTGCCACCGCCGCCGTGGTCTCCACGCCGTCGACGTCGTCCCCCCCCCCCCAAACCGTCGCGCCTCCGGCTCTCGCCGTCACGGTGGGGTCGCACGAAGAAATGATTCCAAACCCCACCGCCACGCACGCGTTCCACATCCAGCCGTGATTGGCGTCGCGTTCTGCCAGGATGCGGAGAGATTGGGTGCCGCGGTGGCTAGGAGATGTTGACTGCCTCGCCTGGTGTGCGGGAGGTCGTGGGTCTCTCTATCCAGTGAGATGTTGACTACCTCGCCTGGTATGCGGGAGGTCGTGGGTTCGATCCTGACCCTGACCCTGATGCCTGCTGTATATTTGGAGTTTGCATGGTGGCGAGATGTTGACTACCTCACCAGGTATGCAGGAGGTCGTGGGTTCGATCCTGACCCTGACCCCTGCTGTATATTTGGAGTTTGCGTGTCTCTCTCCTCGTGGTTGCGTGGATTTTTCTCCGGGTCTTCCGGTTTATCTCTCCACATTTAGAATCAATGTCAGGCGTTTAGAGTATTTGGTTGCTATACATTTCCACGCGATAAGCCACTTCGTCGAGCTATCATTTGTGATAAGCAGGTTTGCTTCTGAAAATGAGCTATTCAGCTCAGTGGGCCTTACCTGGTAAAATAAAAACATAGTTTAGTTTCTAGTTTAGATTGGCGGCGCTCGGAGAGTCGTTGTAGCGTGAGTTCAAGAGACCACGGAGCCACGCGCTGAGCGGGCGCCATTGCCAGCCCTGCACATTCTCGTTTTCTTCCCCCCCCCGACCCCCCTTCCTCAAATTAAATCCCAATTGAACCGTCGCCATCACGTGACGAGACATAAGCATCCTTTCGTATCTCTCGATGAGCGGTATCAACCCTTCGTGTTGGAGAACAGCTCACACGTATTTCCCGAAGCCGGCGTGCAACTTGGAGGAGCCTAGTTCAGGAAATGTAAACACTTGGCTGTAGGGCTCTTGTCGTGTGTTCACGTGAGCTTACAGCAGCGTAGGACACACAAAGCCACGGGCACAATTGTTGGTTCTGGCGCTTATATAGTTCTTATGTTATTTTATTACTGGAAGCAAGCCAAAGGCATCGTAATTCTGAAACGCAGAAAGCCGCAAGACTTGCACTCCAGCTACAGGGTCACGATATCCCTCTGGTCCTCCACCTCCAAGCTGATGAAACTGCCTCCCGAACAAGCCAGATTCCCAATTGCCCATAGCTGCTGCGAACGGATGGCTGCCTTCGCCACCCTCAAAAACTGGTTTCCTGCGTCACAAACAGAAGATTGGCAACAGCAGCGATTGCCCTCTGCTGCCTACGACTCCATTTGATCGTCGTGGCCTACTGCTGAAGTTGTCAAAAAATCACCAGATGCCGTTTCTCTCGTACGCCTAATCGGCACGATGCTCATCAACCCATTATGTTCAGGCTCAGGCCAAGTCGTCGCGTGTTCACGCAACGCGACATTTTCAGGAACGCAAAGAGGACTGACTGTACACCTCACGACCCCCCTGCTGGCATCGCGCTGCTGTTACCATCCTAGAATCTCAACCTAGATCTGGAAGAAGGCTGGCGAACAACGCAGAATAACACGGAGGTCCCGAATAAACACCTCATTCGATATCCACACATCGCACCTCCGGGCCTTGACATTTCTGCTCGAAGACTCCGGTGGTGGAACCATCAACCGCATCAGAACATCAATAGGTCGCTGCCCACATCCGCTTCATAAATAAAATGCAAAAATGAAGACCAGCCACAGCGGTGCTTCTTTAACCGTACAACCCAAACTGTGGACCGCACAGTAAATCACTGTAGCCTACACTCCTTAAACGGAGGAGGAATGGCAAAACTGCACGAAGTCTCTCCCGAAGCTCTCTCGTGGCCAGCAGACCTCGACATTGGCATTCAGCTCCTGACCATTTGTAACTTTTGACACTGATCCAGGACAGCTTAGCCCTGACCCTGTGGGTCGTGACCCGCCGTTAGAGTCAACCTGGAGCCGGAGATGTATCTGCTATCATACGGCGCAGCAGCAGCAGCGCCACTCCGCTGCTGCTGCTGCCCATTATGAACCGTTCCCTTTTATTCGCAAAGGCAAAATAAACAAAAACTCTTTACGTACGAATAATTACGTTTTTTTTATACTCTGGTGTCGGTTGTGCAGTATACGTCTCAAAATGCTGAACAATTGCAATTCGCATTTTGATGAAAAAAAAAGTATTGACAGCTCCACAGTGAAACAACAAGATGGGCACGGTGAAGGTACGGGCGGTAAATGTGACACAGCACGATTTGACCAAACCGTTCACCATCACGTCAAATAAAATCGCGTGATTTATTTCATGAGGCCTTGGGAATGGCAACCCCTCCTCAGAATCAACCGCTGCGATGAAAATGCGCTCAAATGATGATTATCTTCAAAAAGTAAAGCACGGTGGGGTTGTGATGGTACTGATGGGCCGCCCGGCTTTCAGCCGGTGAGCGAAACCAGCTTCGCACGAACTCCTCTGCGGGGGGGGGGGTGCGTGCGCTCTGCGCTCCCTTTGACTTCGGCACCGATTTCTGCTGCCAAAGCAGGAAGGGAGCGTGAGTCCCGTGTCGGGAGACGAGCGAGCGAGCGTCGCAAACAGGACATGGGTCTGGGGTGAGCTCAGGGGGCCGGGGCCGTGGCGGCCACCTGCGGGGATGCCCGCAACATCCCCCCTTGTGTGCCAAACGCGCGCGTGTGCGTGTGCGCGTGTGTGTGGGGAGGGTTCGTGCTACGAACCCAGTGACCCGGGTTCAATTTCCGCTCATGGCCAACACCGGTGACGGTTATCTGGACTGGTCCTGGGCCTACCCTAGGTCCGCTCGGCCTCAATTGAGTACCTGGTGCGGTGTATAAACCTCGCCACTGGGAAGACAAACGCGGCCGGGAGTGGTGCTGGCCACCCACCCCCTCGTGTGCAGTGCCGGCCTTGATAGGTGCTACTCGCTAACAGCACTTGCTCCTACAGTCTGTTAAGGCTACACCGGGTATCTTTGTCTTTGCGTGTGTTTGTGTTTTATTCGGTAGTACTACGAGATGTCCTACGGCCTCAACATCGAAATGCACAAGCAGGTGAGTGGGGCTGGGGACTGTGGGGGTGGGGGGCTGTGGGGTGGGTGTCGGTGTCTCCCCGCTAAGAGGGGTGAGTGGGTCCCCTAGGGTTTGTTTCGGGCAGTAGGTTTATCCTCGGTTGTCATTAACATTTCGTGCACAGAAAAACACGCGATTGCTCAAATATAGTTTCCGCGATCGTCTTGTGTGGGTTATACAAAAAAAAAGGCATTAATAGGGTTAAGTGGCTAGGCAGTAGTATAGCGAAAAGTGGTTAAGTGGGGCGGTGGAGTGATATTTCAGAGTGATATCTCACTCTTAAGCTCTACGCCCCTCGCTGGCGCTCGCAGACTCACTCCTTGGCTCCACACTGGCGCACATTACGGACCCCGGCGTACGGAGGTTTAGAGGGTTTTTTTTTTCTCCCGCCGCACCGCACCTCGTTGGGACGCGCGGCGCGCCCCCGACGTTTCGGAGCACTGCTGCCGACAATTTTTTCGTGAACCGATTAGATCCGAGCCAATTTTTTTTTAAACCCTATTCATCTCCTGTAAGACGCCTCCAGAGCACGGAGCGTAATTTGGCGAGCCGTCGTCGCTTCGCGACGCGCGCGGTGATGACCCCGACGGCACGGCAGCGGCGGTGGCGAGCCATCCCCGAGGGACGTCTTCACGAGTGGAGGCTTGCCACGGCACGGGTCACGCCAACCTCATTACTTCCCTGAGTCCCGGCATCATCATCACTAACATCCTCCTTCTGCTGGTTAAACAAACGAACCCCCCCCCCCGCCCTCCCCTGGCAGTCGTGTGTCGCCTCGCGTGAGCACTCACGCCAGGCTCGCCTCCTCCGTCTCTTTCAGATGGAGATCGTGAAGAGGCTCAACGCGATATGTGCGCAGATAATGCCGTTCCTCGCTCCAGAAGTAAGTGCTTTCCCTCTGACGAGCGGGAAGCGGGGGGTCGGGCCCCTGGTATTGGCAGCGGCACAAGCGACGGGATGGATGGGTTGCTCAGTATGTTTTTGTGTGTGTGCGTGTGTGTGTGCGCTCGTGCATGCGTGTTCGTTCGTGTGTGCTTGTGTGTGTGCGCTCGTGCATGCGTGTTCGTTCGTGTGAGCGTGTGTGTGTGCGCTCGTGCATGCGTGTTCGTTCGTGTGAGCGTGTGTGTGGGTGCGCGTGCATGCGTGTGCATGCACGCTCACACATGCATGCGTGCGTGCGCGCGCCAGTGTGCTTATGACCAGCTCCAGTTTGAGAGCAGAAGTCTCACTCCGAATCAGTCGAGTGGCAACATCTTTTCATCGGCTGCACAATGCTGTGTGGAAGCTACTTGGTCTGTCGCTCAACACAAAGCTTCGGGTCTTCTTGGCCACGGTCATGCCCTCCCTTCTCTATGCTTGTGAAACGTGGACCCCCCTAATGGGACATCTTCGCCGGTGAGAAAATTCAGGCTGGCCTGCCTACAACCCATCCTGGGTTTAACCAGGCTGGATTGTGTGAGGAGCTCACAAATCATTGAAAGATCTGGACCCGTTCCCATCAGTGGAGTGATGTGGTACAAGTGGCGGTGGAGCTGAGTGGACTTGCCAATAACTGGTACCAGCGGTGTCAAGATCGGCCTCTGTAGAGGAGGCTCGTGAAGGATGCTCCTGGGCAGTTGGAGGCAGTCGCCCTCCAACAACAACGGAGGGCAGAGGAGCTGGGCGGCTAAAACACAGCAAGGTGGCACAGTAGGGGACACAGGTGGTGCATCGGCCAGTCATCTCAGTTAGTCGATCCATGGCACCTGGGTCTGCCCCGTGACCTCCTGCTGGCGGGCGTTCGACACTTCACGTGGCACATAGCCTGGCACAAGCGCCGTGGTGACGTCTCCGCCACTTAGTGGCGAATGGCGGTTGTTGTTGTGCCAGGACCGAGCCAGTGCCGAGTTCTCGTGAGGACCTGTGGAGAGAGGCCCTTCCCCCAAGTCCCCTCATGGGTCACAAACACCCTCAGCTCTTTGTCACCCATTAAACACCTCGGACAGGCAAGAGCCTCTGTCTGCTGCTAGAAGGTGGAGAGAAGGCGCAGGGAGTTGGTGCACCGCACCAGAAAGTGTGTGGGGGTTGCCTCCACGACGCGTGTGTAGTGAGGAGCGGCGGCGCAGTGATTAGTGCATTGCGCTTCAAACCCAGCAACCCACGTTCGACTCCCGGTCAAGGCCAACATCGCCAACAAATATTTGAACCGGTCGCAGGCCTCCCCTAGGTCGACTCGGCCTTAAAAATGTGTAAACAACAGCACTAGGGAGACAAAGGTGGCCGGGCACGATACCACACAAACCCCTTGTTGCGCCATTCTTGGCTTCATCAGTGCTCGTTAACAGCACTTGACCCAAAAGCCAGTGTTGGCTATACGGGGATTTTTGTCTTTTTGATATTGATTAGTTGATACATAATTATAACAGCCTTTTACTTGGCCAGCCGACTATTGTGGAAAAGTTTTCACGGCAAGCAGCACGAACCACACACAGAGCATTCAGCACCTGCCATGGCGTGAACTGCTGTTTACACACAGACCATGGACGTACGAGAACCACAGACCATAATGGGAACATGATGATTCTGTGTGTGTGTGCATTTACGTGCATCCACATGTGTGCACGCGCACAGCTAAACACCAGTGACGATTATCTAAACCGGTCCTAGGCCTCCCCTAGGTCGACTCAGCCTCAAATGAGTAACTGGTGCAGGATGTAAACATCTCCTCTGAGGAGACAAAGGCGGCCGGGCCTACTTGCTAGTAGCACTTGTCCCAGCGGTCTGTTAAGGCTACACTGGGGGATCTTTGTACTGATGTGTGCGCGTGTGCGTTGTTCAGCACCAGCAGCAGGTGCTGCAGGCGGTGGACAGGGCCAAGCAAGTGACCATGGCGGAGCTGAACACCGCCATCGGAGTACGTGCCCAGCTCCCCGCACGCCCCCTTAGCACACACCACCACCACCATCGCCACCACTGCCTTCAACCCCGGCACACAAACAGCACCATTGTCCCTGCTATCACCACCACCACTGTCACCACATAATGTCAACCTCATCACAACCACTACCATCATCCCTGCCACCGCCACCATCACCACCACTGCCTTCAACCCCATCACAACTACTGCAATTGCCCCTACAACCAACACCCAACAACACCACCAAGCCGATTGCAACATCTGCCGCTGCCTCCTAGCCACCTGCACTCGCATTGTCTCTGCCACCATCAATATCAGCGCCCTTACCGCCATCACCACCACTACTGCTGACCGTGCCGCCGCAACCACCAACACCACCACCACCGCACAGTTCCTGCCACCGCCATCTCCACCGCCATCGTTCACCCAGCACCTTTCACCGCAGCGGTAGTAATTGGTCGTAACGATGTCGTTTATTTGCCCAGGAAAGCCTCCACTGAGTCTCAAGGCTCTTTCTCAAGAGGCTCCTCCCCCACCCCGCCCTCCCCGCAGCACCAGCAGCTGCAGGCGCAGCACCTGGTCCACGCCCACGGCGCCATCGCTCTCCCGCAGCACCACGCGTCGCCGCTGCCGCCCCCGGCGATGCCCACGCCGCCCGCCGGCGCCAACGGTACCGGAAGTGGCGGCGGTGGTGGAGGTGGACTGATGGTGCTGTCGGGCCCGCTAGGAGCCTCGTTGTTGCACCAGCTACCTGCCGACAAGGGCCACCATGGCCTCCTGCAGGGACAGCTCCACCTACAGCAGCAGCACCACCACCAGCAGCAGCAACAGCAAGGAGAGCGTGGCCAGCGAGGTATGATTTGGAAGCTAAACACTAGTGAGATGGGACTCAAGCCGCGATCGTGAGAACAGAAGCTCCCAAACCCGAGGATTTAGTCTGTGGGTGCCCGGCCCAATCCTGACCTTGTTGCCACCTGAGGCTGGGGCAATATCTTCAGTTCGCGAATAAAGTCGAATCGGGCGACAGCGCCGTTTAAATAACCCTTGACGGGCGGTAGGACGGTGGCACGGTGGTAACGCTTGCAGTGGTGGGAGGGGGGGGGGGCCTGTGCGGGGGAAGAAATTCGGAACGAAGTATCTCATCTTTTTTTTATATATCAACGAGTAGAGATTGCGTTGTTGCTCTGCATCCAAAGGCACGGTTGTCGTGTTTGTGCTCTGCTGGACATCTGTGTAAAAGAGCTTTGTAGCCCATAGGATTCCTCCAGTATGAGTAAATATTTTTATTCTGATTCTCACGAGACCCTCCTAAACTCAGAGCACGAACAGTAATCCACTCTGTTACGTCACAATAACATGCCAAGGTGATATGCATTGTGAGGGTTTATATATATATTCTGGAGGATTTAAAGAATATTCTGGTGAAATAATTACCGTGCCAGTCGGTGATGCTGTTTATTGCCTCGGCAATGTCGGTCGACTCCCTTGCTGCCGGGCAACTGGCTAAACAGGTGCTCATCCACATAACAAATCATAATAGACTTAATCAATTATACGTCTTCCAAACTTCTTCCGCCGATCTCCTTTCGTCAGGTGACCAGCAGGCTTCACTGGTAACGGCCCCGCCAGCAGCCACTAACAACAACGGAGTCACAGGAGCCCAGCCAGAAGCCAGATAGTAAACTCGAGGCATCGATTATTTATATAATTAGATATTATATGTATAATATAATAGGAGTATGACACTTGAGTCCGTCTATAATTTACGGAGAGTCATTGCCATATATTGCAGCTCGGTAAAATGGAATTAAACATTTGGAGGGGAATCGGAGGAGGAGAGGGAGGGGGGCAGAGCCGCATCAATCGATCCGCAGTCAGGATTTAATTAGCATGGTTGGCTACGTGAGGTACGAAAGAAGTATGAAAGGGGGGGTGAGGGGGAGGGGCACGGGGGTGGGCAACGATCGCCGTCGGAAATCCGAGGACCGTTTTGGAGTCAAAGTGATCGGCGAGCCAACTGGGGCGAGGTCGTGAATGTGAATCCCCCAAACGGTCGTGTCGGACGCCCGGGGACGCACGCATTTAAAGCGATGACGTCACTGTATTCGCTCAGCCATAAAACAAAGTTGAACAGGGGGAGAAAGGGTGGACCGAGTGTGATGATGACAGGGGAGCTTGAGCCTTGGCTTCCAGCATGGACAAGGTGACGGTGTGGGTGGTTCTATTCTGTCTATACCCCGCCCACTGTTTTGTCTGCCCCCCATCCCCCCACCCTTGCCGCATCGCCGCTGCCTCTGACATCCGCTGAAGGCGACAGCGACCGGGAGATGCGCGTGGTGAGAGTCGCACACCGCTCGCTCCTCACTCGCAGTCACGCGGGGCGGCGCCAACACTCTCACCCCGTATCAGAGGCAACTCTTAATGCCCAGAGACAACTCTTATTACCCAGAGGCAACTCTTAATATTCAGAGGCAACTCATTCACTGGCCAATCGTCGTGGAGCGTGGGAGACACAGGCGTGAAGGGCAAGCTGCCCCGATTGATGCGACGAAAGCAGACTGGAGTTTTAATTATTTGTGCGTGTGTTTGTCTTTGTGTCCGTGTGCATGCGTTCTTTTTGTTTACGTCTCAGAGCAAATCCATCTCGCCGTCGGGCAGTCTGAGGGACGCGGAGAAGTTTCGGCTCTCGGCCGACTACGGCGGCGAGGCCAAGAAGCACCGCGTGGACATCAAGGACCCGGCGGCCAACCATTATGTGAGTCGCCCGCCCACCCGCGGGCATGTTCCCTTGAGGACATTGTTGTTGATATTGTTGTTTTGTTGTTGTCCTTGTGAAAAGGCGAGAGCCGAACTGCCGTGAACACCCGATGACGCTGGGCGTCATCGCCAACGAAATTATATATTTTTTGGTTTAACAGATAGGCTTCTACACCTCTATTTAAGGAACGGAATTGGTTAACTTCTCCACAAATCTGGCTGTCGCTGGATGAAGCTGGTTGTAATTACTGGCAAAACGTCGTACTCAGATTGTAAATGTTGTAGCTTGGCTCTCCAACACACCAGTTAGTGCTGTACTAGTGACGAATTGGCCACGTTCTGTTTACGTGACCAAACCTTACTAATTGGCTGTCGGGTGGTGGTGGGTTTTAATGACACATTTATATATTTACGCGATCTAACCCAAAAAACCTCTATTATGGATGTATATTCTTTTTTAATTTACCAGGTAAGGCCCACTGAGCTTCATAGTTCTTTTTCAAAAGCGACATAGCCACAAATGAGAGCTCAACAAAGTGGCTTATTGTGTGGAAATTTATAGCAGCCAAATACTCAAAATGCACGTTGATTCTAAATGTGAAGGGGAAAAACCGGAGAAAAATCTACACGACCACGGTGAGAGAGACATGCAAACTCCAAATATACAGCTCCAGGATCGAACCCACAACCTCCTGTATTCCAGCTGAGGTAGTTAACATCTCGCCACCATGGCACCTCAAATTAATTTGATTGACTCCGTCTGGTGCTGGAGGGTACAGCTGAAAAATTGCCATTATACCTTCACTCTGATCTAACTCTAAATAAACGAATTATGAATAATAATTTTTATTGGTGATGATGATGATGTCATCATGGTTGTTGTCGTTCGGTTGTCATTCATCGGCGTTCTTGTTGATGTTTGTTGTCATTGTTGATTGTGTGTTGTTGTTATCATCATTGTTTATGGAGCGCACGATTCGACGTCGGCTCGGCCGTGAGTTTGCGAGCCCCCAACTCACCCCTCGCTGAGTTTGGCAGCCACCGCTGAAGCCGCCTCGCTCGCGATGAACATCTCAACGTATCCTCTGTAAAAATGTCACCCCAGTGACAAGCGGCAGGAACTTGACCCAGGGGCTGCAACACCCCCCCCCCCTTCCTTCAACCCCCCCACCCCCTCAGTGTCATTACCCCCCCCTTCCCCCGCAGCTCGCGCTTCCACGCGGCGCGCTTTCCAATTTCTTGCCGCGCACTGGGCAGGGGTGGTGGTCGTTGAGGGGCGGGGGGGTGAGGAGTAGGGGAGTGAGGTGCTGGGGGGGGTGAGGGGTGGGAGGGTGGTGCGGGGGGCAGGGGCGGGCTCCACATGGGCCGTTTTCTTGTGGGGAGTTCAGTGCAGTTGCGCCTGTCCCGTGCTTGGCTTTTTCCACGAAACCTCGGGGGGCTGCCTCCACCCGCACGAAACACGAAGAGAATAATTTAGCGCGGATGATTTGTTCAAACGTCCCCCGGGCGATCGGTCGCACTCACCGAAGCGCGGCGCGGTCGGTCACGTGGGTACCATCATTCATGAGCCTCGGCACGCGCAGGCGATCGGCAGGTTGCGTGCGGTGGGGTAAAGCGTGGGTAACTTTCAACAGTTCCAAGGCGTCTGGCCGGCTTGGAAGAGTAGGAAAAATACTGTCTGCATGGAGCTCCAAAGTCTCTCTCTCTTCTCGAGTGGAAGCCCTTCTGCCAGGTGCAGCGGCGTGAGTAAGCAATTGCAGGGCTGCGCCTTTACCCTGTATGGGTGTTGGGCGGGAAGATGAATGGCGAGCACGTCCGTGGGTGTGAGCACGTGTGTGTGTGCGTGTGTGGCACAGTAGGGGACACAGGTGGTGCATCAGCCTGTAATCTCGGTCAGTTGACGCAAGGCACCTGAGTCTGTACTGTGACCTTCTGCCAGCAGGCGCTCGACACTTCATGTCGCCTTAACGAGCACATAGCCTGGTACAAGCGCCGTGGGGATGTCACCACCAATTAGTGGCGAATGGCGGTTGTAGTGGCTGTTGTGCGACCACCACTGTGTATTTCAGGACAGCGACGCGGCCAGGAGTGACGACAACCTCGTGGTGGACATCTCTAACGAGGTGAGGCACTGCGTGGGGACGGGCCACTCACCCAACCACCAAGCCACTCACCCAACCACCAAGCCACTCACCCAACCACCAAGCCACTCACCCAACCACCAAGCCACTCACCCAACCACCAAGCCACTCACCCAACCACCAAGCCACTCACCCAACCACCAAGCCACTCACCCAACCACCAAGCCACTCACCCAACCACCAAGCCACTCACCCAACCACCAAGCCACTCACCCAACCACCAAGTCACTCACCCACTCACCCAACCACCTGGCCATTCACCCAATCTCACTCTAAAATACACACCTACCCAACCACCCAAACACACACCTGCCTCGTCATTCGCCTAACTGCACAGCCAACCATCCAACCACACAGCCACTTACTCAACCAACTCAAAAACACACATGTGTAGTAAGTATGTAGGAGGCTTGACGACAGGATCGGAGGCACTCTCGTTTATTACACCAACTTGTGCATACACAGTAATTACGGGTTACTTGGCTACAGGGATACACAACAGCTAACCCCGCTAACCTATGCCCAAGTCCTCCACTACGGAGCTAGGGGAGGCTATCTATCCCAGCCCTGGTCAAGCTGGGATCCCGGCACCCTGAGTCTCCAGACCTGCTCGTCGGTCTGGGCTCTCGGGGCCACGCCACCGGCTTGCCCTGGTCGGCCCTTATAAGGACAGCGAGCCAGGGGAGCTCTGGGGCCTATTCTAGCAGGTCTTCCTTCTTCTCTGGTTAAAGCTGAGCTCCGACCTCGAGCCCTCCGGCTCACCACCTTTTATAGGGCTCGGCCCCCGGGAGGGGCCCGTGGGGGATGCAGGTGCGGACGTCGGTGCGAGCACCTCCCCTGTGTACGGCCGTAACCCCGCCCCTTGTGTTTGTTAGCCATCCGTGGCCATGCACAATTACACCTCAACATCCGTGGCCATGCACAATTACACCTCTACATCTGCACCCACCCGGACACACACCTGCCTGGTTTGTTTCAACACTGACCCACGAAAATATGTTATTAGAACAGTCCGTTTTGAGATCAGAATCCACACGGTGGACATTGAATTTGGAACATTCCATTGTGGAGAAGCAGCGGGGTTTGGTGTTGGACGCTGCCCAAGTGAGCTGCTGCCCCCCCATGCCCCACCTCCCCGTAGCCCCCTCCCATACTGGTACCCTTCTCACCTCCCCGTGCTCCCCTCCGTCACCTCCCCATAAAGCAAAGCCCAGGACCGGACCACACATTAAACCAGACCTTACGCCAAAATAACTTGACTCCATCTCTGGGCCCGGGAACGTCGTGGCGACGTTGTGGCGACGTTGTGGCAACGTCGTGATTGCGGCCCATTCAGGAGGCTGCCTCTCCCCGGGTGGGGAGCCCGGGACCCGGCAGCATGGGCGTCAGCGTGGCACCTCCGCAGGAGAACGGCCTCGATCGGCTTCCCGGGGGCCGGAAGGAGGGGGGCGGCGGTGGCAGCGGTGGCGGCGGGGGACCCCCCCAAAGCCCCGCTTCGGTGGCATCCAGCAGCAGCACCCCCTCGTCACGCTGCAAAGATGCTGGCCAGGTGCCGCCCGCTACCACGCCACCCCCCACCTATCTCACTATTCTCTCCATTAATTCGCCATTTCCTGTCAGTCATGGAGGTCATGGGGTTTGTTTGACCATACTTGACCATTCTGGTCAGTGTGGGTTGATGAAGGAAACGTTCTGGTCATCTATCTATCACTAGGCCTCTTCATCCACAACTTTGATTTATCCCTTTTTCTCTCCTTTCCGCGCTCGCTCCCTCCCGGTTCCCTTCCGGTTCTTGCGTTGTCTCTCTACTCCCTGAGACGTTTGCTACATTCCGGGCGCAGTCCGGATGTGAGCCGTCGACGATGATGACAGTGATGGTGACGATGACAATGATGTCGTTACCCACGATGGCGTTAACCTCGGCCGCGGCTGCTTTGTCGTCGTCGCCGGCAGGTGGAGAAGGCCATCACGCCGGTGTCGGCGCTGGGAGACTCCCTTGGGGTCGCCGGCGCCGGCGGAGGAGGAGGCGCTGTCAGCTTGAGGCCTCTCCTGGGGAAACCGCCTGGCGCCATCCCCCTCGGTAAGGGCCGTGGCCGCCCCTACCAAGACCCCCGCTGTGCCCGCCTCATCCCCCCTCCCCCCCGCCACTGATCTCCCGGCGGAGTTTGACGTTGAATCCCCGCTTGGTAGTGCACACGGCGAATGGTGGCTGGCACACTTCGCCCATCCTCTTCCCTCTCCTCGCCCCTCCACGCCAAGCCGTCTCTCCTCTGTAGCCCTTTCGTGACCCCTAACTACCGCTCGATCGCTCATTCCTCAATTTTTGCACGCCCCTGCCATCTAAATCATTCGCCATTTCTTTTAAGCTGTGTTAAGCGCCTCCGGTGAAGGCGTTCTATAAATATAAAGTGAAATTAGATACGGTTGGGGGAATGTGTGTTGGTCTACACTGTTCTGGCCAGTGCCCAATATTCCCTCTGATTGGCCCACTTGCGGATTGTTTACTCTCCCATCTCAGTTACAATTTAATGCCGAGCTGTCGATTCTTTGCGCTAACATCATTTGGCATCATATATCCGTGTCCGCTTATGTGTTAGTGCCACAGTCGCCCCGTGTCTGTTTGAATGTCTCTCTCAATTAGTCTAATTGTGCTGTGATCAGTCTAACCTTAATCTGCCTGAGCCGACTTGCACTGCAGGGAATATTGTTATTCAACGTTAATTTATGTTTGTCCAATATTTTCGATTTCTCGTGTGATACAGTTGTGCCGATTTCTATGTTTACGTCATCATCGTATTCTACTGTTCTTGTTTATTTTATTTTACTTTTGTCATTTTTGGTGACCCACCTGGTTCAACAAAATCAATTTGAAAGTCTGTGTATTCCTCTGTGTGTTTGTGGTTCTTTCTGTATCTCTGTGTATTCATCTGTGTCTCTGTGGGTCTCTCTGTATCTGTGTATTCCTGTGTGTGTCTGTGAGTTTCTATGTATCTCTGTGCATTATTCTGTGTCTCTGTGGGTCTCTATGTATCTCTGTGCATTATTCTGTGTATCTGTGGGTCTCTATGTAACTCTGTGTATTCCTCTTTCTCTGTGGGTCTCTATGTATCTCTGTGTATTCCTCTGTGTCTCTTTGGGTCTCTACTTATCTGTATATTCCTCTGTGTCTCTGTGGGTCTCTATGTATCTCTGTGTATTCCTCTGTGGGTCTCTATGTATCTCTGTGTATTCCTCTGTGGGTCTCTGTGGATCTCTGTGTATTCCTCTGTGGGTCTCTGTATCTCTGTGTATTCCTCTGTGTCTCTCTGGGTCTCTTTGTGTCTGTGTGCTCCTCTGTGTCTCTGTGAGTCTCTACATATCTCTGTGTATTCCTTCGTGTCTCTGTTGGTCTCTCTGTGTCTATTTGGATCTCTATTTCGTTTCAGTGACCCGGATCACTCTAGTGCCCCATCTCCTTGTCTCTTTGAGTTATCACCTAGTATAAAAAAAAAAAAATTAAAACTTACCAGTGAAACTAAACTAAGCTATTTTTATTTAACCAGGTAAGGTCCACTGAGCTGTATAGCATTTTGTCAGAAGCGACCTGGCTATCACAAATGATAGCTCAACGAAGTGGCTTTTTACGTGGAAATTTATTTCAGCCAAATACTCTAAACGCGTGATGTTGACTCTAAATGTAGATGGAAAAACTGGAGGCCGCAGAGAAAAATCCACACGACCATGAGGAGAGAGACATGCAAACTCCAAATATAGGCATCAGGGTCGGGATCGAACCCACGACCTCCTGTATACCAGGCGAGGAAGTTAACATCTAAGTTGCCACGTGTCGCTCACAACTAGATGATCGGTGAAATCCAAGCAGGACCCACCTGAAAAAAAATAATCATTAAACTCCGGCGAGTCTTTTCCCTGAATAAATAAATAACTGCGTTACTTATTCATTATGAAATCAGTGCCGTCATTCACTTCGTGAATATGCAAGTGTGCCATTCTGCACGAGCACACCTTGAACATCGCACGCCTGCTGCGCATCAGTGTCAGCACGTGGCCAAATGGCGTAGCCCAGAGGTCGGCAACCTGCGGCTTCGGAGCCGCGTGCGGTGGCTCTTTAAGGACCGCTCCTTCGTGACCTTCTTCATTAAGGACCTACCGGCTTGTGTTCACCACAGGGCATTTTTTACGGGATTCGAAAAAAACGGATCTTATTTTGGTTGCTGACCCCCTGGCGAGGCCCAGCGGCCTCGCCAGCAGTGGCCGTGACGACCTCTTGACCCTAACCCACGTGTCCTCCTTCCCCCTCCCCAGCTGGCTGTGGCTTCCGGGTCCCCCTGGCAGGCGGAGGAGGAGGTGCGGGGGGGGGCGGCCCCCCCTTCGTCGGGGTCGGTGGCGTCGGCGCCCCCTTCGGGATTGCTCCCTACCCGGGCGCCAACGGGGAGCCGGGCGCGCCGGGGCCCGGCCATTATGGCCCGCCCGGCGTCCATCTGCACGGCCTCGCCCCACACACGAGCGCCCTCGCCGCTGCCACGGCCGGCACCTACGGCCGCTCGCCCGTGGTGAGACCGGCACCTTCCGCGCAATTTCACCACCGTCGCGTCGTCGCGCCTCTTTCCGTGTGCCGCCGGTACCGGAGCGCCGGCTTGGAAGCCGGTAATTAAGGAGGTGAATAATTTATTTGGTGCCCCCCCTCCCTCCACGCCCACCCCCCACCCCCGTGGTGGTGCGATTAGGAGTCTTATCGCACCACACGCTGTTTCCACCCGCAGGGCCGAGCGGTGGTTATTCTCGCGGCACCGATGGGTTTTCTGGTGGGGTGGGGGTTTGGGGGGGAGGAGGGGCCGGGGGAGGGAGCGGGGGCGGGGGCACGCGGTGGAGACGAGGGTTTAAGTCTCCCGAGCGTGAGGCTGTAATTGATCGGCGAGGCGTGAGATTAAAAATCGCACCCCGGGCGTTTGTGCGTGCGTGCGTGCGGGTGTCTGAGCGTGCGTGCATTCGAGTGTGCTGCTGTGTGCGCGTGTGGGGTGGTGCTCGTGTGTGTGTTTGTGTGTGCGTGCACATGCACTTGCCCCAACAGTATGTTAAGGCTATAGGGGGTATCTTTGTCTTTTTTTGTGTGTGCAGCAGTGGCACGGTGGTTAGCGCACTGCGCTACGAACTCACCCACCCGAGTTTGATTCCCGCTCACAGCCAGTATCAGCGACGAATAATTGAACCGGTTCAAGGCCTCTCCTTGGTCAATTCAGTCTTAAAATGCACCTGGTGTGCTACGTAAAGACATCAGCACTGGCAAGACAAATGCGGCGTTCGGGAGTGGTGCTGGCCGCCCACCCCATCGTGTGTTATGCTCGCTAACAGCACTTGCCCCAACATCATGTTGAGGCTATACGGGGGAGCTTTGCTTTGCTTGCTGTATTTGAGCAGTGTGTAGTTTTGGGGGCGTAGGACGCCCCTTCCCGCCGCCACCCCGCCATCTATCCAGCTCATGTCTATACGTGCGTTCACGTGCGTGTGTGTGCGTGCGTGTGTGCAGCTTTTTCCTCGCCACACGCACAACTCCACCACACGCTGACGATTCCTCCGCTCTCGGTAGTGGGGCGGTCCGTACGGCGGACGGATCCGGCCTCCCTTGTCTGTCTCACGGCCGTTTAAATTCACCAACGTCAAGCACGTCCATAGGCCACGTGAGCAGTGGGGTCGGTGTCCCGGGGAGGGGCGGAGGGCCGGTTGTACGAGGTCGTCGTCGCGAGCGACCGAGCGGTGCGCGGTCCCTCGCGGACTCTCGTTGGTGCTCGTCTCCCGTTTGTCGCACGCAGATGGGGTTTGATCCGCACCCACACATGAGGGTCCACGCGGCGGCCACCCCGGGCCTCACTGCTGGCCTTGCCACCAAGCCGTGCGTACCCCCTCCTCCACTCCTCTTCCTCCACTCCTCTTCCTCCACTCCTCCTCCTCCACTCCTCCTCCACTCCTCCTCCTCCTCCACTCCTCCTCCTCCACTCCTCCTCCTCCACTCCTCCTCCACTCCTCCTCCTCCACTCCTCCTCCTCCACTCCTCCTCCTCCTCCACTCCTCCTCCTCCACTCCTCCTCCACTCCTCTTCCTCCACTCCTCGTCCTCCACTCCTCCTCCTCCTCCACTCCTCCTCCTCCACTCCTCCTCCTCCACTCCTCCTCCTCCTCCACTCATCTTCCTCCACTCCTCCTCCTCCACTCCTCCTCCACTCCTCCTCCTCCTCCTCCACTCCTCCTCCACTCCTCCTCCTCCACTCCTCCTCCTCCTCCACTCCTCCTCCTCCACTCCTCCTCCACTCCTCCTCCTCCACTCCTCCTCCTCCACTCCTCCTCCACTCCTCCTCCTCCGCTCCTCCTCCACTCCTCCTCCTCCACTCCTCTTCCTCCACTCCTCCTCCTCCACTCCTCTTCCACTCCTCCTCCTCCACTCCTCCTCTTCCACTCCTCCTCCTCCTCTCCTCTTCCACTCCTCCTCCACTCCTCCTCTTCCACTCCTCTTCCTCCACTCCTCCTCTTCCACTCCTCTTCCACTCCACTCCTCCTCTTCCACTCCTCCTCTTCCACTCCTCTTCCACTCCTCCTCCACTCCTCCTCCTCCACTCCTCCTCTTCCTCTCCTCCTCCTCCACTCCTCGTCCTCCACTCCTCGTCCTCCACTCCTCCTCCTCTCCTCCTCCTCCACTCCTCCTCCTCCTCTCCTCCTCCTCCACTCCTCCTCCTCCTCTCCTCTTCCTCCACTCCTCCTCCTCTCCTCCTCCTCCACTCCTCCTCCTCCTCTCCTCCTCCTCCCCTCCTCCTCCTCCACTCCTCCTCCTCCACTCCTCTTCCACTCCTCCTCCTCTCCTCCTCCTCCTCTCCTCCTCCTCCACTCCTCGTCCTCCACTCCTCGTCCTCCACTCCTCCTCCTCTCCTCCTCCTCCACTCCTCCTCCTCCTCTCCTCCTCCTCCACTCCTCCTCCTCCTCCACTCCTCTTCCTCCACTCCTCCTCCTCCACTCCTCCTCCACTCCTCCTCCTCCTCCTCCACTCCTCCTCCACTCCTCCTCCTCCTCCACTCCTCCTCCTCCACTCCTCCTCCACTCCTCCTCCACTCCTCCTCCACTCCTCGTCCTTCACTCCTCCTCCACTCCTCCTCCTCCACTCCTCCTCCTCCACTCCTCCACTCCTCCTCTCCTCCTCCTCCATTCCTCCTCCACTCCTCCTCCACTCCTCCCTCCTCCTCCCCTCCACTCCTCCTCCTACACCTCCTCCTCCCCTCCTCCTCCACTCCTCCACTCCTCCACTCCTCCTCCACTCCTCCTCCTCCACTCCTCCTCCACTCCTCCTCCTCCACTCCTCCTCCTCCACTCCTCGTCCTCCACTCCTCCTCCTCTCCTCCTCCTCTACTCCTCCTCCACTCCTCCTCCACTCCTCTTCCTCCACTCCTCCTCCTCCACTCCTCCTCTCCTCCTCCTCCACTCCTCCTCCTCCACTCCTCCTCCACTCCTCCTCCTCCACTCCTCCTCCTCCACTCCTCGTCCTCCACTCCTCCTCCTCTCCTCCTCCTCTACTCCTCCTCCACTCCTCCTCCTCCTCCACTCCTCTTCCTCCACTCCTCCTCCTCCACTCCTCCTCTCCTCCCTCCTCCACTCCTCCTCCTCCACTCCTCCTCCACTCCTCCTCCTCCACTCCTCCTCCTCCACTCCTCCTCCACTCCTCCTCCTCCACTCCTCCTCCTCCACTCCTCGTCCTCCACTCCTCCTCCTCTCCCTCCTCCTCTACTCCTCCTCCACTCCTCCTCCACTCCTCCTCCACTCCTCCTCCTCCACTCCTCCTCCTCCACTCCTCTTCCTCCACTCCTCCTCCTCCCTCCTCCTCCACTCCCCCTCCACTCCTCCTCCTCCACTCCTCCTCCTCCTCCACTCCTCCCCTCCACTCCTCCTCCACTCCTCCTCCTCCTCTCCTCCTCCTCCTCCACTCCTCCCTCCTCCTCCTCCTCCACTCCTCCTCCACTCCTCCTCCTCCTCCACTCCTCTTCCTCCACTCCTCCTCCTCCACTCCTCCTCCACTCCTCCTCCTCCACTCCTCCTCCACTCCTCCTCCTCCACTCCTCCTCCTCCACTCCTCGTCCTCCACTCCTCCTCCTCTCCTCCTCCTCCACTCCTCCTCCACTCCTCCTCCTCCTCCACTCCTCTTCCTCCACTCCTCCTCCTCCACTCCTCCTCCACTCCTCCTCCACTCCTCCTCCACTCCTCCTCCTCCTCCTCCACTCCTCCTCCACTCCTCCTCCACTCCTCCTCCACTCCTCCTCCTCTCCTCCTCCTCCTCCACTCCTCCTCCACTCCTCCTCCTCCACTCCTCCTCCTCCACTCCTCCTCCACTCCTCCTCCTACACTCCTCCTCCTCCACTCCTCCTCCTCCACTCCTCCTCCTCCTCCACTCCTCCTCCACTCCTCCTCCTCCACTCCTCCTCCACTCCTCCTCCTCCACTCCTCCTCATCCACTCCTCCTCCACTCCTCTTCCTCCACTCCTCCTCCACTCCTCCTCCACTCCTCCTCCTCCTCCACTCCTCCTCCTATCCTCCTCCTCCACTCCTCCACTCCTCCTCTCCTCCTCCTCCACTCCTCCTCCTCCACTCCTCCTCCACTCCTCCTCTCCTCCTCCTCCTCCACTCCTCCTCCACTCCTCCTCCTCCACTCCTCGTCCTCCACTCCTCCTCATCCTCCTCTCCTCCTCCTCCACTCCTCCTCCACTCCTCCTCCTCCTCCACTCCTCTTCCTCCACTCCTCCTCCTCCACTCCTCCTCCACTCCTCCTCCACTCCTCCTCCTCCACTCCTCCTCCTCCACTCCTCCTCCACTCCTCCTCCTACACTCCTCCTCCTCCACTCCTCCTCCTCCACTCCTCCTCCTCCTCCACTCCTCCTCCACTCCTCCTCCTCCACTCCTCCTCCACTCCTCCTCCTACACTCCTCCTCCTCCACTCCTCCTCCACTCCTCCTCCACTCCTCCTCCTCCACTCCTCCTCCTCCACTCCTCCTCCACTCCTCCTCCTCCTCCACTCCTCGTCCTCCACTCCTCTTCCACTCCTCCTCCTCCACTCCTCCTCCTCCACTCCTCCTCCACCATGGCCACGGCCCGGTCACTGCAGCCTTGTTTTACTCCACTCACCATCCTATGGACTTGCCCTCACTCTACTCCCCTCCTCCCTCTGTCCTCTCATCTCACTCTACACCCCTCCTACATCTCCCCTCTCAACTCATTTGATATTTATGAATCACCACCCCCCGGCCTTGAGACATTTCTAGATCCACACGTGTGCTGCCTTGCCCTCCACCCCCTTTCCCCCTCCTCCTGCCCTCTGCCCCCTCCACCCACCCACTCCCTGCTGGTGCCAGCAGGGCCTACTCATTCCACGTAAGCGCCGACGGGCAGATGCAGCCGGTGGCGTTCTCCGGGGACGCGCTGGCGGGCCCCGGCGTGCCACGGCGCGTGCGGCTCGTGAGCGCCCTGCCGCACGGCGAGGTGGTGTGCGCCGTCACCATCGGCAGCGCCGCACGCAGCGTCTTCACCGGCGGCAAGGGCTGCGTTAAAATCTGGGACGTGGCCCAGCAGCAGCAGCACCACGGGGGCAAGACAGCGCCCGTGTCGCAGCTCGACTGCCTGGTGCGCGCTCGCTCGCCCCGCCCGCGTGACCACTCGCCACTCACTCTCACACCCGCCCTGTTGCCACCCCCCCCCCCCCCCAATACCCACGTGCTGGCATTCGTATCCACCAACACGGCCGCATCACTGGTCCACCAGTCAACCGCTCCTGTCCTCGTGCCCCCTCGCTCGTCGTTGTAGCAGCTCACCCACTCCTCGCGCGCATGCCCTCATTCCCAACTCGCTACTGAGCTGCCCTCATTACCCGCTCACCACTACTACCCACAGCCCCATTCCAACTGACCGCTCACTGCCTCACTCGCTATAATCTTGGTCGAATTTGTGCTAATATGGGCCAAGTCAGTTACTAATCTTGGCCAAATCAGTTAGTAATCTGCGCCACATCCATCACTAATCTTGGCCAAATCGGTTAGCAATCTGGGCCAAATCAGTCACGAATATTGGCCAAATCATTCCCGAATCTGGTGCGAACGTGTCGCTAATCTGGACTGCGTCCGGTCCACGAACGCGATGCCTTTGCCGCCGCACAGAACCGCGACAACTACATCCGCTCGTGCAAGCTGCTGCCGGACGAGCGCACACTGATTGTGGGCGGCGAGGCGAGCACCATCTCCATCTGGGACCTGGCGGCGCCGACGCCGCGCATCAAGGCGGAGCTCACGTCGTCGGCGCCCGCGTGCTACGCGCTCGCCATCAGCCCCGACTCCAAGGTGTGCTTCTCCTGCTGCAGCGACGGCAACGTCGCCGTGTGGGACCTGCACAACCAGACGCTTGTCAGGTTCGTCTCACCGCTCCCACCGCCGCCCACCCGTGACCTCTGTCCCCCGCCCCGGCCCCGCAACCCCCCCGCCCCCCAACTCTGCCCACCCCCCTCTCGCGACCAGGACCACCCCTCCACCCCAACCCCACCCCCCTCCCCCACCTCGGTGTGTGGAACCTGCACAACCACACACTCGTCAGGTTTGTCCCACCGCTCCCACTTATGACTTCTAACCCCCGCGACCCCGCAACATGCATGCATACGTGGGCAATACGTATGCATATTGAACTTATTTCGCACCGCATGTAGCCAACCGCGCTAATCGGAAGTGTGGGGTGAGGGTAGGATTCACGGTCTAACTTGGTTCTAGTGCGACCACGCGTGTGACTCCTTCATCACCACCGGGTAAAACTAAACTATGAACTAAAATATTTTTATTTTTACTAGGTGAGGCCTACTGAGCTATGTAGCTCTTTTTGAGAAGAAAACCTGGCCACAAATAATAGCTCAACGAAGTGGCTTATCGCGTGGAAATTTATAGCGGCAGCCAAATACTCGAAATGAATTTAATTCCAAAATGTGGAGGGAAAAAACGTAGGATCCGAAGAAAAATCCACGCCACCGTGAGGAGAGAGAGATATACAAAATCCGAATATACAGCAGGCATCAGGGTTGGGATCGAACCCACGACCTCCTGTATACTAGGTGAGGGAGTTAACATCTCGCCACCACCGCGCTTGAGTCGCCCTGATTCAACCTGGTGTCCCATCGCCCGCAAAGGGAAACAACGAACCGTTTGAAGGCTCCTGGGTCTCGAGGTTGCGTTCCTTACGAACGTTCCTCCTCAATCCGTTTCGGGCTTTCCCGACTTTTGAAAAACCGGAAACCAAATTCTGAAAACGATCCTCACTCGTTTTGTTGTTGGGTCAGGCACCCCCCCCCCCCCCACCCCCATGGTGGTGATAGCTCTGTGCCAGAATCCTCATCACTATCCCCTCCCTACACACCAGCCGAAATGACCATCACGTCCGCACGGACACCCGTTGCCGCTTCCTCCGGCCCGTCCCCCGCAGGCAGTTCCAGGGCCACACGGATGGCGCCAGCTGCATCGACATCTCGCACGACGGCGCCAAGCTGTGGACGGGCGGCCTGGACAACACGGTGCGATCTTGGGACCTGCGTGAGGGACGGCAGCTGCAGCAGCACGACTTCACCTCGCAGGTGCGCCCGCAGGGCGGGGCAGGCAGGGGGGGGGTCGCCGTGGCAACCAGAGCCACTGTAACTGGGGGTAATTGTGGTAGGGACGGGGTGTGACCATCGTAACCGGCGTTACCTGGGACAACCAGGATAACTGGGGTGCACATGGTAACAGGAGTAACAGGAGTAATCAGGGTTACCATGTTAACCAGGGTAAATGGGACAATCGTAATGAGTGATAACTAGGGAAATCAGGGTAGCCACGGACAACAAGGGTAACTAGGGACAACTTGGGTAACCATGGACAAGGGTAACCAGGGTATCCAGGGGTAACCAAGACAGCCGGGGTAACGAGGGGCAACCGGGGCCATGGTCGACTGCCCACTCGCTCACTCGGTCATATTCACACTCACTTGGCTAATCGCTCATACGGCCACTCATTCGCCCACCCACCCACACACTCACTGGCCCGCTCGCTTACCCACTGATTCATCTACCCACTAACCTGCCCACTCCCTGGCCCACTCATTTGCTCACTCGCCCGTTTACTCATTCACTCACTCACCCATTTGCTCACCCATCACTTTAACCTTGGGGCATCACCCAGCCGGATGTTTGCTAATGTTTTAGCGGCAGAGTCGGTAAGTTTTCAGACGGCTGGCACAGCCGCTCCGCCCCGGTCAATCTCTCACGCCGGCACCGGCCGCCCCTTGGCAGATCTTCTCGCTGGGCTACTGCCCGACGGGCGAGTGGCTGGCCGTGGGCATGGAGAGCAGCAGCGTGGAGGTGCTGCACAACAGCAAGCCTGACAAGTACCAGCTGCACCTGCACGAGAGCTGCGTGCTGTCTCTCAAGTTCGCCCACTGCGGTGAGCGTCGTCGTCGCTGACATCGCTATCCCTGACTTCTTTCGTCTTTTTTGTTGTCTTGTTTACTTATTCGTCTCATCCAAGAATCGTCTATTTGGGATGAGAGCTAGAATTTGGCAAAAAAATTTTCAGCACCAAATATTGTTTGGTCGGGTTTTTTACGTGTGTGTAGTGACATACAAGACGTCCCTAGATGGCAGCCATAGTACCCAGTGATGGGGGTGCTGTCTGGGCATGGCCCTGGCAACGGTGAGAGAGCGCATGAGGATCTGGCCTTTGGATGAACTCGGGAGAACACGTGACCGGACGAGGTGGAAAGGGCTACCCCCCAAGGGAGGCGAGAGGGACACGTGATGGGGAACCAGAGCCCTCGAGAAGAATCTGGAATGGGGCGTGGCCAGGGGCAGAGCACCTGGCCACGACGAAGCGGATATAAGCCGGGACGGAGAAGCCGGCAGGGGCGCCATCGTTGGAGTGCTGTTGAAGAGAGATGGGACCCGCCCGCCAAGTCTTGGATCCTCGGTCTTCGGGCATGAGAGTAGTCATCAAGATCCGGGCAACGTGTTAGCTGCCCCGGCAGGTTATATAGTGCTCCCATGAGTGTTATGTAGCTATCCAGGGTGGTCACCACCCTTAGTCGTTATCCCGTTGAGTGTAGACTTACCTGTGTTGTTTTAGTGAATAAAACGTGTTGCCTCCATACTCAAAAGTGCGTCTCAATAGAACCCACTACATTTGGTTTCAGAAGTGGCTAACCATACTAAGTGATAGTTTTAGACTAGGAGAAAATGTTTACTCATAGACGACAACGCACGAAGACTTCGTCAGATGAAGAGGATGAAGAAGGGATCATGCCCCAGACAGCCCATGCTGTTGCAGCCCTAGAGAGTTCAAGTTCATTTATTAGGTATAGCCCTGTGAGCCATTCGGCTCTTGAATTGGGTGCAACCGCAACAAACAAAAAACTAAAACATGAACAAAAAACATCTTAAAGTGAATATGTGACTAAGTGCAAACAGAAAATCCAAGAAAGACAGCAAAATATTGCAGAAAAAAGAGAGAGTGAGGCGGTGCTGCCGGCGGAGCAGCGGCAAGAGTTTTACGCCGCAGCCTTGCCGCCGTCGGGGAGAGACTGCGGCAGTGTTGGTCTTTGAGCTGGGCCACGAGGAGCCGCCGCCAGAGACCGGAGCGCCGAAGCTGAGAGTGGTCGACGCCGGAGCCGCCATTTCCCACGCGCGGGAATCTTTAGACGAGCAGCCCACGTGCGTCACCGCCATTTTGGCGGTCGGGCAGGAAGATCTTCCCGCCATCTCTGAATCTCCACAACCGGCGACGATTGCGGTTCCACCTTTTCGGCGACGACTTCCATTCATCAAAGAGTTTATGGCGTCGGATGGCGACAGGGAAGCGTTCAGGAGGCGCTTCATGGCGAACTGTGAGTTGGCGGGTTGGACGGAGGTGGAGGCGCTCCCTGCGCTCCCCACCGCACTGGATGACAACGCCTTGGCGGCGTTCTACGCCATTCCATCCGCCGACAGGGACACGTTGCTGCGGGCCTTCATGCAGATGGCAGTGATTTTTTATCCATCATCCAACGTTCATCAGAAATTTGCCGCGCGGTCTCTAGGGGAATCCGAGACGCCTCTCGCGTTCCGCAGCGCTTTGCTATCATTGGCACAGGCGGCATTTCCAAGAATGGAACAGGACGGGTTGGACTCACTAGTGCTGGAGCACTTGCTGGCATTGGCTCAGGAACTTCATGTTGTTCTGCCAGTTACAGAGGACGTAAATTTATCTTCTATTTATATTGCACGATGCCTCCAAGCACATCTTAGTCTTCAACGCTGAGTGGGGGTGGCGGCGTGCACCGGTTCTTTCTTTGCTCTGGATGCACCCGAAGATGTGGAAGATTCTCAAGTATGCACGTCGAGCAACGATGACCGATGGAGGGTCGACGCGGGGCGACGAACAGGGCGAGACCAGCGGAGAGGGACCTTCTTTTGCCCAAGGAGCAGCCCCGTCATCTACCTCTCTGTGCGAGGAGGACTCCCTGGACCACCATCGTCCTCCACCCGGTCGTCCTCCTCTCTACCGGGCCCCCAGGCAAGTCGTGACGCCACCTCATTCATCTAATTCGAACGTCGGTGCGGGTTCGCGCGGTGTCGGCTCAGATCGGGTCAAAGAGCGTGGGCATCCGGGATTGCCGTGTAATACTTGGCCACATCGACCTCGTCAATGGTCGGAGTAGGCACATCAAGGTTGTCGCCGCGGCGGCAGGCTCATCGGCGAGTGTAGGAACAGTCCAAGGTTAAGAGTGCTCATCGACACCAGAGTGTCCGCTACTATTATCTCTGAGTTGATTTTTAACATCTTGCCCAAACACTCTTGCGTTCTTCAACCTGTCGCCGTTCCGTGTTTCACCGCGAACGGGGGGATCCCTAAGGATCACCGGTCAAATTACCATGACAGTATGTATCGGTATCGGTGACATCCAGTTGACCGGGCCGGTGCTAATTTCGAAATCCTAGGCCGTGCCCTGCCTACTGGTTCTTAGGAAAATTGCCCCTGAAAATCCTTATAGATCAGGGCTGCATCAAGTTGCCATCGGGCCGCCAATTGGCTTTTCTTTCTTCCCCAACTCGATTGCGCACAGCTAACGCCACAGTCTAGGCTGTGGCGAGTAAGACTGTAAAAATTCTACCCGGGGCGCAGATACTAGTGCCCCTGAAACTACGGAAGCAACTCGATCGTGAAACCTAAAACCGCGTTCTGGACACCGAGTGGCTTCTTTGAATTTAACCAGCTTCCGATGGGGCTCCACTCCACGCCAGCCACATTCCAGAGGCTTATGGAGCTGGTGTTGGCGGGGCTCCAGTGGGACTCCTGTTTGATTTACCTAGATGATAGTTTTTGGCCGTACGTTCAAAGAGAATTTGCAACGGTTGCGTGCAGTTTTGCTAAAGATGCGGGACGTGAACTTGAAATTTAAGCCGCAGAAATGCCACCTGCTCCAATGATCGGTGCGATACTTGGGATACATCGTCAGTGCGTCGGGGATAGCGATGGACCCGAAAAATACGGCGTGTGTGCGCACTTGGCCCACACCCAAGTCGGTGGGGGACGTGTGTAGCTTTATTGGATTCGCCTCTTACTATTGCCGTTTCTTGCCCGGGTTCACCACTACCGCGAAACCTCTTCACGCTCTGATGGCCAAGGGGCAAAAGTTTTGATGGGGGGCAGAGGAGGAGGCCGCTTTTGTCACGCTTAGGGACGGTCTTGTAAATGTACCTCCCCTTCGATATCCCGATTTTTCCATTCTGGACACAGACGCCAGCAACACTGGTATTGGCACCGTGTTGTCCCAGGTCGTGGAGGGCGTGGAGAGCGTCGTGGCCTACGGAAGCAGAGTGTTGTCGCCGGCCGAACAATGTTACTGTGTGACACACCGGTAGTTGTTGGCTATTGTGGTTTTTGTCCAACAATACCGCCCGTACCTCTATGGTCGGAGCTTTGAGGTATGCACTGACCATGCAACCTTCCAATATGCGCTGCGTGTCGATCAGCCGTCTGGCTAGCTCTCTCGATGGCTGGAAGTCCTTCAAGATTATTTGTTTGAAGTGTCACATCGAAAGGGTCTTCGTCATGTAAATGCCGATGCTTTGTCACGCTTGCCGCCGGGTATCGGGTGTGCATGTCTCATGGGCGCGGGGCGCTGTAAGCTGGCGGATGCGGGATTACCCCTGTCGTGGCGTTGGTGGACGCTCCACCCCCTGATGGTTCCGCCATGTCGGACGCGGGTGATACCACCCTGGGGTTGACCAGTGCAGAAAGGGGACGCCTCCAGGTGGAGGATTTCTCCTTGTTGAGGCTAAGGTGACGGGTCACAAACGCTGTTGAGGGTGTGGACCGACGTGGGGTGGTCCTGGTGATCCTGAAAGGGGGTCTGTTGATGCACTGGGACAGCGGGTTGCGTCACTACAATATTATGTCCTGAGGGGCAGAGTAATTTAGACGGTGCATGAATGGCTCATGCACCTTGGCGTGCAGAAAATGCTTGCGACCGTTAAGCTCGATTTCTTCTGGCCTGGCATGTCGGGGGATGTATACAACGTGCTGAAAGGGTGTGTGCAATGCGCACATCGGAAACCCCCTCCGGAATTGGGCTGTCCGCCATTGCAATCGATCTCTGTGTCCCACATAAACGAACTTGTTGCGCATGACGTCCTGGGACCGCTTCCAACCACACCGCGAGGTAATCAGTACTTATTGGTGGGGGTTGAATATTTTTCTCACTGGCCGATGGCTTGGCTGCTTCTAAACCAGTTAGCTACGGCTGTTACTGAGGCATTCTTTAATGGATATGTACTGGATAAGGGGGCTTCGGATCGCCTCCTGACGGATCAGGGCAAAACATTTTCGTCCAAATTACTGAAGGAAATGTGCGATCTGTTGGGCACCAAAAAGGTTCACATGTCGCCCTATCACTCCCAGACTGACGGGATGGTGGAAAGTCTAAACAGGACCCTGACGTCTATTTTGAGTCAGCAGGTTGACGGATCACAATGTGATTGGGACTTGCATGTCCCAGGGGTTCTCGCAGCCTATCGAATGGCTCCTCACGCTTCCACCGGCTTTTCGCCATTTTTTTTTATGTAGGGAGGGAACAGGATCCTCCGATTGTTGTTCAGCTTGAGACGGGATGGTCTAAGTCGAAGAGTAATATGTCTGACCCGATGCGCCTTAACCTTCAGCATGTGTCGGAAGCACGGGAAGTTTCCAGAGAGAATTCGGCCTTACAACAATCGGGAAATGAGAGGTTAAGGGGGCTACGTGTGCAGGGGACAGAGTGGACCCCGGGGGACAGAGCCTGGTTGCACTGTCCTCAGGCACCGGTGGGTACGTCCCCAAAGTTATACAAGCCATGGCGAGGCCCGGTCGATGTGATACAAGCTAACAGGCCACAATGTGTGCAGATTCAGTTCGGTCGTCGACGCTGGTTCGTAAACCTGTCATGCCTAAAACCATTTGTTGTGCCTCGCGCGTTCCCTTCATCTTCACCTTTCAAGTGTCAAGTGTCTAGTGTGTCCAACGAGCTGGGGTGGGCATCCGCTGAGGTTGTGCCTCAGGAAAGTTCTGTGATTCCACCCCCAGGATCAAAGCACCTGATGCCCTTGCCGTCGCCGATTGCGCCGGCCACGGACGGACCACCAAGGGGGAAGCAACCATCGCCCACTCGTCCTCCTGCTGCCGTCATTTATTCCCAGGAGGGGCCGCGCCCATTAGGCCATTCTTCACTTTCCCCCGGGCCCTCCAAGGAGCTCAAGCCCATGTCACTTGGGGGCCCGGCAACGGGAACTCGTTCAAAGACTAACCGGTTCAAATTACTTTCCTCCACTGTGTTGTTTCCCCTGCACCGCCTGCTTTTTGCCATACTCACGAGTCAGGGGATTCATTGGCTGAACCTGCTTCTTCGTGTGCTCATGGGTGTTGCCACATATGCGGGCATAGGGTCATGCTGGAAGTGGGAGGGGGTGTGAACCGGGCCTTGTATATTGCTAACTTTCCCTTGCTTTGTTGTTATTCGGCTTTGTGATTATTGTGTGTACTGTGGTTATTTATTGTTGTTCGCTCGTCGGTTGTTCTTAATTGTTGTTGGGAGGCACACTCTTATCTTTTTGCAGATGGTGACAGCTGGGACGGCTGTATTTTACGAAGGGGGGGGTGATGTAGGGACATACTAGACGTCACTAGAGGGTAGCCATAGTACCCAGTGACGGGGGTGCTGTAGGGGCATGGCCCTGGCAACGGTGACAGAGTGCCTGAGGACGTGGCCTTTGGATGAACTTGGGTGGACAAGTGACCGGATGAGGTGGAAGGGGGTACCCCCCAAGGGGGGCGAGAAGGACACGTGATGGGAAACCAGAGCCCTCGAGAAGAATCTGGAATGGGGTATGGCCAGGAGCAGAGCCCGGCCAGGGGCAGAGCCCAGCCACGCCGGAGCGGATATAAGCGGGACGGAGAAGCCGGCAGGGGCGCCGTGAGTGTCATGTAGCTATCCAGGGTGGTCACCACCCTTAGTCATTATCCCGTTGAGTGTAGACTTGCCTGTGTTGTGTTAGTAAATAAAATGTGTTGCCTCCATACTCAAGAGTGCGTCTCAATAAAACCCACTACATGTGTACAATCTTTGGGGTGTGGGATGACTTGGCCGAGACCATCAACCTCATCACAGTTAAGAACCCACTTTAATTACGGTGCCTGGATTTGAAATCAGGATCTCAACGCTCTGACTTCTCAACCACCCGACCGCCCCCCCTCCCTCACCAGGGAAGTGGTTCTTGACCACTGGGAAGGACAACATGCTGAACGCGTGGAGGACCCCGTACGGAGCCAGCATCTTCCAGGTGACGACGCAGTGCCCATACCGCCCCCTCACCCTTACCGTCCCCTCGCCTGTGCCGCACCCTCGCCCATGCTGCCCCTCACCCATGCCTCCTCCTCGCCCGTGCCCCCCCCCTCGCCGGTGCCCCCCCTCGCCCGTGCCCCCCCCTCGCCTATGCCCCCCCCCTCGCCCGTGTCACCCCCTCGTCCGTGCCTCCCCCTCACCCATGACCCCCCCCTCGCCCGTGCTCCCCCTCCCCCGTGCCCCCCCTCCCCCGTGCCCCCCCCCCCTCGCCCATGCTCCCCCTCGCCCGTGCCCCCCCCCTCGCCCGCGCCCCCCCCCTCGCCCGTGCCCCCCCTCCCCCGTGCCCCTCCCTCCCCCATATAGCCTCACCATACTTTTGGGGCAAGTGCTGTTAGCAAAAACCTAAAAAGGCCAGCAGGGCACACGAAGGGGTGGGTGATCGGCACCACACACGTCCGCCTTTGTCTCCCTAGTGGTGATATTTACACACCACGCCAGCTATTAATTTAAGGCTGAGTCGACCTATGGGAGGGTCACGACCGTTTCATTTATTTGTGACTGTTATTGGTCGTGAGCGGGAACTAAACTTGGGTCACCTGGTTACCGCACACACAAATAAAATCACACCCACCCACTGCTTATTTTCACTGGCCACCTCACCAACCTTCTCATTCAACCACCGAACCACCCGCCTGCATCTCCACCTTTCCACCTGTCCATCTGTCCTTCTGTCCAGCACACCCCGACACCAGTCCAGACCCGAGCCTCTCACCGCCGTCATTGTCGTCGTTTTCGTTTCAGTCCAAGGAAACATCGTCCGTGCTGAGCTGCGACATCTCCCTGGATGACAAGTACATCGTGACGGGCTCTGGGGACAAGAAGGCCACCCTGTACGAGGTCATCTACTGAGACGGATTAGGGACAGCCTCCTGCTTGCCTGCTACAGCTGCCCTCCCGGCCCTCCCGGCCCTCCGGGTCTCCCCGCCCTTCCCAGCCAACCGGCTGTCCGGCACGCTCCTCCTCACCGTGTGGGGAGGGCGTCGGCGAACAGGACCAGAGCTGCCCCCCCCCCGACTCGTCGGCAGCCGCTGCAGCTTGCGGTAGTTCCCGCACGGTGTAAAGGCTGGAGCTGGGAGATGTCCGCTGCCTCTGTATCTCCCCCCAACACTCACCTGTTGTCTGCTTCTCGCCCACGGAGCGATCGCGACCCGTGGCTGCCCGCGACGCTGGATCAGGGGTCGGCCCGACTCGTCGTCACCGGACATCACGCGATGCTAAAACCGCGATGCGCTCTGCCGACCACCCAGCACACCCCTCCGCTACACCCACCTCTCCCTTCTCACCCGGTGCCCCCGCTCTCGAGCGACGTCTCCACCTCCCACAGTCGATTCTCACGCCCCTCTTGATTACCGAGCCCCCAAGACGAAGAAGGCGGTTGCCTACCCAAACCCGCGGTGGCGGAGGAAGAGGAGGGACAGTGACAGGACCACGCCAGGCTCCGCCCTCGTACTCCTGTACCCTGCCGGCCATGGCCGGCTCAACCGGAGGCACCGTCGGGACTTTTCCTGCCATTGGCTCTGCCAAGGAACGCGTTTGCCGTGTCCACCGTCCCAACGGAATCCGTCCGTGCAGGTCGGCGAGCCGGAGTGGCCGATACAACTTTCTAAACGCCATCTCCCCTGGACGCCGGCTGCCCCGGGCGAGGTCTCGGCACCGTGGCGGCCTTGTGGCAGGTTTTTTGTGGCGGGTTGGAGGTCGGTTGTCTTGGCTCGAGAGTCTTTGTGGCCCGTGTGGTGGTGGCCATTTTTTATCCTTTTAACTCGACTTTTAAAACAAATGTTGTCGTTTGATCTGCGCGTGCCGTTTTGTATGATTGATAGTGTGAACCGTGATTGCCCAAACTTTTCGTCCGTTGTTTATTGTTTTTGGAGCCGGTTTTTATGTAAAAACAAAATGTACATAAACACGCTGGAATAAGCTCACGCGCGTGCGCGTGTCTGTGTGGTCTGGAGGGAGCAGTGGCGCAGTGGTTAGTGCCAGTGCGTTAGCAACCTGGCGACCCGGGTTTGATTCCCGCTCATGACCACCAACAACGTTGACGCTCAATCTGAACGGGTCCTCGGCCTCCGTTAAGGCCGACTCAGCCTTGAGTGAGTACGTACTTGGTGCGGTTTGTAAACATCGCCACTGGGGAAACAAGGCGGCTGCGCGTGGTGCTGTCCACCCACCTCTCCACGTGTGTTACGTTGGCGAGATGTTAACTCCCTCGCCTAGTTTACAGGTTGGTCATGGGTTCGATCCCAACCGTCACGCCTGCTGTATATTTTGAGTTTGCATGTTCTCCCCATTTTGTCACGTGGATTTGTTTCCGGGATTTTCCCTCGACATTTAGTAACATGCGTTTAGAGTATTTGGCTGCTATACATATTTCAAGATAAGCCACTTTAGTGGCCAGGTCGCTTCTGAAAAAGAGCCACATAGCTCAGTGGGCCTTAGCTGGTGGAAAAATATATAGTTTAGTTTCCAGTTTAGTGTCCGGCCTTCGTACGCGCTACTCGCGACCAGCACTTGCCCCGTAATATCTGTTAAGGCTAAAGGAGCGGGGCCAGGAGAGGGTTCTTTGTCTTTGTTGTGCTCCCCTTACTAATTGGCTATGTCGGGTGGTGGTGGGTTCATGACACATTTACGCGATCTGACCCAAATAAAAACCTTTATTATGGATACGAAGGGACTGCTTTGGCAATAGACTGGGGACATCGCTATTTGCGGAGCCGGGAAGTGTGTCTCGCTGTGCTCGTGTGGTTCGGCACGTGAGCAGCAAGCAGTGCCCGAGGCATCCTCACAGAGACAGACTCACAGAGACAGACTCACAGAGACAGACTCACAGAGACAGACTCACAGAGACTCACTCACAGAGACAGACAGACTCACAGAGACAGACTCAAAGAGACTGACAGACTCACAGAGATGGAGAACCACCGCTTACCTAAGATTGTGCTGTATGGGGAACTGTCCTCTGGCCATCGCGACATAGGGGCACCACGAAAGCGATACAAAGACTCCCTGAAGAAGTCCCTCACTGCTTTCTGCATCGATCACCGTCAGTGGGCAACACAAGCAGCTGATCGCAACTCCTGGCAGCACACAGTCCGCCAGGCCACCTCCTTCTTCGAAGATACTTGCAGGGCCCGTATGGAGGACAGCACCCATCCCAGATCAGACCTATACTTGCAGCCGTTGTGGCAGGACCTGCTTGTCCCGCAGAGGCCTCGTCAGCCACCAGCGTGCCTGCTGAAGACGTGGATGTCCTTCCTAGATCTTCGTTCGCGAAGCCAAGCCATGAGTGATTAAACTCTACACACAAAGAAGCACGTGAGCATCCTTGAGCTGTACCCATCATCACGGTGTCTCTCCGTCCTGGCCACCGGAGGAGAAACAAGTGCAACGCCCCCCGTGTGGAGCGATGCCACTAATGGACGGTGGTGCAGAGACCACGTGGCCGGGAAGAGGAAGAGAGCCCCCCCCCCCCACTTGCCCCCCCCCCACCTGTCCATCCCCCCCCCCCCCCACCTGTTCCCCCCCCCCTACCTGTCCCCCCCCACCTGTTCCCCCCCCCACCTGTCCCCCCCCCCCCACCTGTCCCCCCCCCCCCCCCCACATGACGTGCCAAATATCTCTGGCACGCCTCGTGACGGGTACTGCAAGATCCGAGCTGCATTGGCTTCCGGTTGCCGAACGAATGCCTAATAAGGTTACACTCATTACACACAAAGTGCTTGCCACAAATGAAACAAAATACCTTGCTGAACTCATCAAGGAGCGTCAACCATCACGCGAAATCCATCCGCGCAATGGCTGTTAGCTAACCATCGAACAAAGACGGTGGTAACCGCATTGCGCCCCATGGTGGAGCCAGGATTTTCAGGTAGGGGGGGGAAACCTCTCCAGCAATGAAAAATGATAGAGGAGTTGTTAGTAAGTAATGAGTTGTTAGTAAGTAAGGAGTTGTTAGTAAGTAAGGAGTTGTTAGTAAGGAGTTGTTAGTAAGGAGTTGTTAGTAAGTGAGGAGTTGTTAGTAAGTAAGGAGTTGTTAGTGAGTAAGGAGTTGTTAGTGAGTAAGGAGTTGTTAGTAAGGAGTTGTTAGTAAGTAAGGAGTTGTTAGTAAGGAGTTGTTAGTAAGTAAGGAGTTGTTAGTGAGTAAGGGTTGTTAGTAAGTAAGGAGTTGTTAGTAAGTAAGGAGTTGTTAGTGAGTAAGGAGTTGTTAGTGAGTAAGGAGTTGTTGGTGAGTGAGGAGTTGTTAGTAAGTAAGGAGTTGTTAGTAAGTAAGGAGTTGTTGGTGAGTGAGGAGTTGCTGGTGAGTGAGGAGTTGTTAGTGAGTAAGGAGTTGTTAGTGAGTGAGGAGTTGTTAGTGAGTAAGGAGTTGTTGGTGAGTAAGGAGTTGTTGGTGAGTGAGGAGTTGTTAGTAAGTAAGGAGTTGTTAGTAAGTAAGGAGTTGTTGGTGAGTGAGGAGTTGTTAGTAAGTAAGGAGTTGTTAGTGAGTAAGGAGTTGTTGGTGAGTGAGGAGTTGTTAGTGAGTGAGGAGTTGTTAGTGAGTAAGGAGTTGTTAGTAAGTCAGGAGTTGTTAGTAAGCAAGGAGTTAGTAAGTAAGGAGTTGTTAGTAAGTAAGGAGTTGTTAGTAAGTAAAGAGTTGTTAGTAAGTAAGGAGTTGTTAGTAAGTAAGGAGTTAGTAAGTAAAGAGTTGTTAGTAAGTAAGGAGTTGTCAGTAAGCAAGGAGTTAGTAAGTAAGGAGTTGTTAGTAAGGAGTTGTTAGTAAGTAAAGAGTTGCTAGTAAGTAAGGAGTTGTTAGTAAGTAAAGAGTTGTTAGTAAGTAAGGAGTTGTTAGTAAGTAAGGAGCTGTTAGTAAGTAAGGAGTTGTTAGTAAGTAAGGAGTTGTTAGTGAGTGAGGAGTTGTTAGTAAGTAAGGAGTTGTTAGTAAATAAGGAGTTGTTAGTGAGTAAGGAGTTGTTAGTAAGTAAGGAGTTGTTAGTGAGTAAGGAGTTGTTAGTAAGTAAGGAGTTGTTAGTAAGCAAGGAGTTGTTAGTAAGTAAAGAGTTGTTAGTAAGTAAGGAGTTGTTAGTAAGTAAAGAGTTGTTAGTAAGTAAGGAGTTGTTAGTAAGTAAGGAGTTAGTAAGTAAAGAGTTGTTAGTAAGTAAGGAGTTGTTAGTAAGCAAGGAGTTAGTAAGTAAGGAGTTGTTAGTAAGGGGTTGTTAGTAAGTAAAGAGTTGCTAGTAAGTAAGGAGTTGTTAGTAAGTAAAGAGTTGTTAGTAAGTAAGGAGTTCTTAGTAAGTAAGGAGCTGTTAGTAAGTAAGGAGTTGTTAGTAAGTAAGGAGTTGTTAGTGAGTGAGGAGTTGTTAGTAAGTAAGGAGTTGTTAGTAAATAAGGAGTTGTTAGTGAGTAAGGAGTTGTTAGTAAGTAAGGAGTTGTTAGTGAGTAAGGAGTTGTTAGTAAGTAAGGAGTTGTTAGTGAGTAAGGAGTTGTTAGTGAGTGAGGAGTTGTTAGTAAGTAAGGAGTTGTTAGTGAGTAAGGAGTTGTTAGTAAGTAAGGAGTTGTTAGTAAGTAAGGAGTTGTTGGTGAGTAAGGAGTTGTTGGTAAATAAAAAGTTGTTAGTAAATAAGGAGTTGTTAGTAAGTAAGGAGTTGTTAGTGAGTAAGGAGTTGTTAGTGAGTAAGGAGTTGTTAGTAAATAATGAGTTGTTAGTAAGTAAGGAGTTTTTAGTAAGTAAGGAGTTGTTAGTGCAGTAAGGAGTTGTTAGTAAGTAAGGAGTTGTTAGTACATAAGGAGTTGTTAGTAAGTAAGGAGTTGTTGGTAAATAAAAAGTTGTTAGTAAATAAGGAGTTGTTAGTAAGTAAGGAGTTGTTAGTAAGTAAGGAGTTATTAGTGAGTAAGGAGTTGTTAGTAAATAAGGAGTTGTTAGTAAATAAGGAGTTGTTAGTAAGTAAGGAGTTGTTAGTGAGTAAGGAGTTGTTAGTAAGTAAGGAGTTGTTAGTAAGTAAGGAGTTGTTGGTGAGTAAGGAGTTGTTGGTAAATAAAAAGTTGTTAGTAAATAAGGAGTTGTTAGTAAGTAAGGAGTTGTTAGTGAGTAAGGAGTTGTTAGTAAATAAGGAGTTGTTAGTAAGTAAGGAGTTGTTAGTAAAGGAGTTGTTAGTAAGTAGGGAGTTGTTAGTAAATAAGGAGTTGCTTAGTGAGTAAGGAGTTGTTAGTAAGTAAGGAGTTGTTAGTAAGTAAGGAGTTGTTAGTAAGGAGTTGTTAGTAAGTAAGGAGTTGTTAGTAAGTAAGGAGTTATTAGTAAGTAGTTGTTAGTAAGTAAGGAGTTAGTAAGTAAGGAGTTGTTAGTAAGTAAGGAGTTGTTAGTAAGGAGTTGTTTGTAAGTAAGGAGTTGTTAGTAAGTAAGGAGTTGTTAGTAAGTAAGGAGTTATTAGTAAGTAGTTGTTAGTAAGTAAGGAGTTAGTAAGTAAGGAGTTGTTAGTAAGTAAGGAGTTGTTAGTAAGGAGTTGCTTGTAAGTAAGGAGTTGTTAGTAAGGAGTTGTTAGTAAGTAAGGAGTTGTTAGTAAGTAAGGAGTTGTTAGTAAGGAGTTGTTAGTAAGTAAGGAGTTGTTAGTAAGGAGTTAGTAAATAAGGAGTTGTTAGTGAGTAAGGAGTTGTTAGTAAGTAAGGACTTGTCCCTTGATTTTTATTCGACGTGTGTGCGGCGATGGCGCAGCCATCGATCGAGGGTCGAATTCGAACCGCGTCGTGTGATCGGCATCGCGCTCGCTGAAGGTGAATTCCTTCAGGGAAGTCGTGTACTGTATACGCAACCGCTTTGCCATTACTTAGTGCCAATTATTGGCTCAGATTGTCCTATCATCTCACAGAGTCTCTGGCACATAATAATATGCTACACAGTGGCAGTGGGGGTCGCAAAATGCCGATTTATTACTAATAAACCCCAATGATCCGA